CAACCGGCTTGGAGATGTCGGTCGTCGAGAGGAGGCATTGAGCGCAATCGAGGATGGCGGTTCGCATCCACCGCCAGCTCGCACAGGACCGCCCCGAGGCATTCAATCCCGCCCTCGCCGGCTCTCTCAACAACCTCTCCGTCCGGCTTGCAGATGTCGGTCGTCGAGAGGACGCATTGAGCGTAATCGAGGACGCATTTTGCATCCGCCGCCAGCTCGCGCAGGACCGCCCCGAGGCATTCAAGCCAGACTTCGCCTTGTCTCTCAACAACCTCTCCAACCGGCTTGGAGATGTCGGTCGTCGAGAGGAGGCATTGAGCGTAATAGAGGAGACTGTCTGCATCCGCCGCCAGCTTGCGCAGGTCCGCCCCCAAGTGTTCAATCCAGAGCTCGCCAAGTCTCTCAACAACCTGTCCACCCGGTTCGCAGAGGTCGATCGTCGGGAGGATGCATTAAGAACAGCTAAAGAAGCGGTTCACATCTACCGCAAGTTCATGCAGGACTACCCCGACACATTCAATCCAAATCTAGTCTTCTTCCTCTGCCACCTTTCTTGCAGGTATCGTGATTCCGGTCGCGCTGAAGATGCATTACAATCTGCAAGAGAGTGTCTTGCACTCTATCACGCCTCGCCTGACATAAGACCGACTGTGCTCTTGAGCGAGGAAATGGATGTGCTCGGGAAGGTAGCGGATTGCATGATTCAGTTAGGCCATGAGGAGGAGATGAAGAAGTTTCATTCTTTGGCAGAGGCATTGAGGAAGTGGGGAACACAATCGGCGGCAGGAAAACCTAAGCTCGCACCCTCGATGAGTAAACAACGTAAGTCCACATCGATTCACACCAGTAACGGCCACATTTTGATGACATCTACTATACTATCTGACCACAGATACCGTAGATAGTATATAGGCCGGTCTCTATCGTAGGTGCTCAGTAGAAGAGTGTACGATGTAAGGCACTTGAGCCTTGCCGGTCCTCTCGACTCTCAAGTGTTTTCGTCTTGGGCATACCGAATTTGTGAACCAAACATCAAGTTACCATACTAAGCTTATGGTAAACGTCCGGAATATCTAAAGCTACAGTAAGAGCGATCTACGCTACCCTTGAAATACAGTACCTGTATAAGTAGAGCCCAAAACACGAAAGACAGACAACAAACCCAAGAAACGGCAAAGAATATCGAAGCTCCCAACACAACGACCGAAATCCAAAAGAATACACGAACGGCAGAGAAAAAGAGGCCATTAAGAGCTCGTAGCGCTCGCCTTAGGCGTAAGCTGTATAACACTCGAACTCGCACTCACAACGTCCACGCCATTCGACCCAGATGCCGTCGCGGTCGCCACGCTAACACTCGTCACCGCACTTCCCTTCACACCCTTGGTCGTCGACGCCGGAACTTCCGTAACGATCGACGCACCCGCCGCCGATAGACTAGCAAGCAAACTCGACGCCTCCGCCGCGTTCAACGTTGTCGTCACACTTGGCAGAGATGTGGCGCCAGTCGCAGGGAGTGTGATCGTTATCGTCGTCGTCTCCGTCCCCGTCCCATCGCCTGCAATTGTGCTGTTCGAGGTGCTGTTCGTTCCGATAGCGACGGTTGAGTTCGTCGTGGATGTGGTGGGGATATCGGTTGCGTTGGATAATGGGAGGGAGAGGGTAGTGTTTGAGGGGAGGGTGGTGGCGATGAGTCCGCCTGTGGTGCCGGTTGAGGCGATGAGGGTGGTAGCGTCGGACTGGGAGACACAGGAAACATACTAAATTCCAGTAGAGGTCATTATAATTAGTATGAAATAAGAGAGGGAGGATGAGAAAGGGACGTACGGTGCCGTTTGATCTCACAAATGGGAGCGCGAAGCATTGTTGACCCGAAGCACACGATTCGATATCCCATGTACCAGCAGTGGTTGTGGTGTTGGTCGCATCGGTTGTCGTGGTAGTCGTGTTTGAAGAGGGGGTAGACGTGCACGTAGCGAATTCGCCACTTATGCAAGCGGTTTCGCCAACTGACAGAAGCTCTTGTAAGTATGCACATCAGACAAGAATATAGGAAATGTGTCATACCACTGCATGTAGAGTTGGCCGAGAGTGAGAGGAATTCAGCGTTCAGAGTTTGAGCAGCTTGGCCATTCTGAAGCATGGTGGTATCGTCGATAGAGAAAGGTGCAGCGGAAACAGTGCGGTGGTGCAGAGTTGAGACAGCAGCGAGCAGAGATGCAGTGATGAGAGCGAAGGGAGCCATTAGTGTTGATGCAATAAGTGAGTGACAAGGGTAAGCGAAGGTGAGAGAGAGAAGCGAATATATGAATCTAAGGTCGTGAGGACGTGAAGTCAATGATAGAGAGCACCGGGCTCGAGGGCTCGTAAGTTCACCAACAGCAGAGAAAGGGCGAGTCAACTTGAGGTCGCCAAGCCAGCCTTTATAGCCAGATAACACAATGCTTTCCATAGGGTCGTCGAAGATCTATATACAGCGCTATAGGTCAGGTACGTGCCTCTCGTTTTTGTGTCGAGAACAAAAAGAGAACAATGGAGACGGTACCGACAGAGCGGAGCGAGAGTGAACAAAGGCCGTGACAGCTCAATACGCCATGTCACGCCGTTTGCAATTGTGGCGGGATGTGACTTGCCCAATGTGGATGTCACATCTAGCAGTGCTCGACGACGCCGCACCGACAGCATCCATTCCCAACGTTCAAGACCCCACCAACTATTCAAAATGGTGAGCATGCCCTCTGTGACATTCAGGATCATACCCAGCCCTCCCGTACACCGTCTACGCTGTCGAAACGCGCGAAACAACCGCGGAATGCGTTGGATGGCTTCACTCAGCTTCAGATGACACCCGGCCAAACTTCGCGACTCCAATGCTGATTCACCCTGTCTTTGCCTCTGCTTTATGTGCGATATAGACCAAGAAGCGACGTTCCGGCGGCCGTAACAAGAAGGGACGTGGCCATGTTGTCTTCCTTCGTTGCTCAAACTGCTCGAGGGCTGTCGCAAAGGACAAGGCCATCAAGAGGTTCACTGTCAGGAACATGGTCGAGTCTGCCGCTGTTCGTGATATCAGCGAGGCTTCCGTCTACCCTGGTGCGTTCATCTTGTCCCTATCGTATTACGCTGTCCACTGATTTTGAGCCAATGCACTTGCGATCCTGCAGAGTACGTGATCCCCAAGCTGTACATCAAAATCGCCTACTGTGTCTCGTGCGCCATCCACTCGCACGGTGCGTTTCTCTCTTCCCCTATCCTTCACGAGCTCGTTCGCTCATAGGCTCCATACGTCTGTATCTTTCAGTTGTCCGTGTCCGCTCGCGTGAGGGTCGCCGCAACCGCGCTCCCCCTCCTCGTATCCGGTGGAAGGATGGAAAGAAGGTCAACCCTGCTGTTGCCGCCGCGGAGGACGCTAAGGCTGCTGCTGCCAGGACGGCATGAGGGATTCGGGCATTTGTGCTGCAACGCATTGTTCACATATGATGTTATGTATTACTTGTCTCGTTTTCACGCATTGATCCCAGCCTGCTTTTCTCTCTGCCTCATCCATATGTGTGTGTTTGTCCTGTCCACGGGCGTGTTCTACAAAAGACCTGCAGCCAGTGATCCCGCCATACCTTGTGCAATTGGGATGCAACTGTGATTCAACAAGCCAGACGCAAAGTGACAACCTGTAAAACTTGGCCAGTGATTCGTTTCGGACTTCGTTCATTGCTTAGTCGATCGCATCGACTCAGAACGGGATCCTGGAGGGTGGTAATGCTGATTTCGAACCCGTCAATCGGACAAGATATCGATGTAGGATGGGTGCAGCAGGTTACATTCGGTAAAAAAAAAGTACAGATATCGAAAAAAAGTCACGGAAGCATGTGTCTTACACCACTATCTAGAAATCCATCATAGCCCGAAGGCATAGTGTTGCTAGCGAAAGCGAAGACATGGATCACTCTCCGCCAAAATCTAAATGTCCCCTTCCTCGTCGAAAAAGATGGCGAAAAAGGAGTGATAAGGTGTTGGCGTTGAAGATCGCGTCGAACGCTACGAACGCGAGCTCTTATACCCTTCGCTCACCACCACGTGCCTGCCACGCGAGTGAGGTATACGAAAGAGGAAAAGCAGTCGGCCGAATCGGGGGCCGGGGAAGGTCAGATGAGTGACGTAGTGCATCGCATTGGAAAGCCGAATTCACTTGCCACCTTTGCCGGACGGCCTCGCCACTCTCCTGCAAGTCGTCCCACAAGACATCCACACACCGCCTGTGCTGCGCTAACTTGTCCTCAAATACTCCTCAAGGGATATCTCATTGCTTTGCTTTCACCAACATATCTTTCCCTCCTCTGCTTGCTCTCTGTTCCACCAGGATTGAACTCGGGAACATACCTCTATCGCTTTCTGTACACTCAGACTTGCTTGATTCATGAAGTTAAATAACCCACTTCCCCAACCTCTGCCAAAGGAATGCAATAAAGCGGCGAAGATATGTACGTCAGATCCAACTAGTTCCATTTCAAGTCCGAACTGACGCCTTCACCGTTAAATAGGCAGATCATTCGTCGATAGTGGAAACAACGGACTCGATGGGGTTCGTACTGGCAACTCCTATATTTTTGCCACACCACTTAAGGCAACGCATGCTGATTCTGCGTATGGTTACTGCAGGTCATCCCAAAACAGATCTTGGAGAACGCTCGTGGATTCGCTATATTTTCGATCTTTAAGGCCGGGTTCTTGTTCTCTGCCAGAGCTGGGAGTGGTGTCGTGATCGCAAGGCTAGACGATGGTAGTAAGTAACTCTCGCACTGTCTCATAACATAAATATCAGTGGTGAAGTAGGCATGGGAAGATTGAGCTGTAGGAGACTTTCATTGTCATGATTGGGCCACATTCCCACGGCCACTGCTACGATCCTCTCGTCTATCTCAATCATCAAAGGAACAACTGCTGATACTCTTGATTGACTTTCCCAGCATGGTCAGCACCAAGTGCCATTGGACTTGCTGGTGTCGGTGTTGGCGGTCAAGCTGGCGCAGAAATCACCGACTTTCTCATCGTTCTCAACTCCAAATCAGTACGCAAACTTTCAAATCATTCCGTGTCGTCCGTGCTCTTACCTTCGTCTTGTGCATTGGTCCTAGGCTATCGTAAGTGATATTTATATCCGAATACGCAAACATAGGGTCTAATGCATCGACTGCTACAGCGACAATTCATGGCTGCAGGATCACTCACACTTGGTGGTAACATGAGTCTCGCTGTCGGACCATTAGGTCGCAATGGTGAAGCCTCAGGCGCAGTGAACTCCAGCGGTAAAGTCGCTGCAATGTCAGTCTTCCTTCCCTTTCCTTCTTTATCCCTCCCTCTCAGACATCTGCCCCCAAACGGACACTCATCTTCTCCCACTGTGTAACAGGTATTCTTACTCCAAAACCCGCGGCCTCTTTGGTGGACTCTCCCTCGAAGGCTCCGTCATCGTCGAACGTCAAGACGCGAACGCCCAAGCCTACCACTCCGACGTCACAGCCAAACAACTCCTCTCCGGCTCCGTAACACCACCAGAATGGGCGTCCACACTCACTCGCACCTTGGATGCCTGCACCGGCCCAGTTTACAGGAATTGGGTGGATGAGGGTCCAGGGGAAGTAGTGACGCCGCTGGAGAGCCCGTATGCGTTTAATGGGATCTCGAGCCCGGCGGGTGAGAGACCGTCGAGTGGAATGGGTTCGAGAGGGATGAGTGGGTCCGGGAAGGGAACGGGAGCAGGCATGGGGAAGAAGGCAGCGGAAGCGTTCCCGCCTCCGAGTTGGGGGAGGAGAAAGAGCGGAGGGAGTTATTTTTCGCAAGCAGGCGCTACACATGGTGAGGCATACGACGACCACGACGACATTAATGGCCTCTCGGGTGCGATGGGGAAGACCAGCCTTTCCGGTGGTACACGGACGAGAGGTACTTACGACAATGGGCTCGGGTCGGCAAACTCGGATTCGTGGGATTACGACAGACCACCGAAAATATCCGCAGAAGACGATTCCTCGACATCCCGCTTCGGAGAACATTTCGAGTCAGATTTCACCCCACCGGCGACACAGGTTGGCAGGAGTTCATACACGGGGAGTACGAACTCTAGTGGTGGTGGTGGTGGTAGTACGAAGCAGAGGTTCGCAGATTGGCAGCCTGAGCATCATCCACAGTCGAAATCCATGGGAGCCTTCGAGAAGAGAACGTTTTCACCATCACCGACATCTTCATCAGGGATTAATCGACAGAGATCCTCGAGTAATCCGTACGGTGCACCGCAGTCGAAGCTTGCTCAGCGTTCGCCGCTATACGACGAGTCGGCAGGCAGTGCTTTGGGTACAGGCGGCTCTATTGGGGGCCGATCATCGAGTTATGGAGGGAGTGCGAATGGAAGGAAGAAGCCTGAGTTCGATGGGTTTAGGGACGACGATGAGATTGATGACCCTTTCTCGTCGCCGAGTAGGGACGATGATTGGGGTAGTGGAGGTGGGAAGAAGAAGATTGAGCCGAACAGGGAGTTAATGAAGCCTTTGGCCAGAGACGAGGGTGTGGCAAGGGCGATTGCGTTGTTCGATTTCAAGGCTGTCGAGGTGCGTTCGTTATTCCACTGCAGTTCATCGACTTTGCTTGCTGATAACTTCGCCTTACTCTGCCAGGCGGGAGACCTTTCATTCAAGAAAGGACAGGTCATCACGATTACGGAGAAGAGTGATACTACCGATACGTGGTGGAAGGGAAAGGTGGATGGAAGGCAAGGTTCCTTCCCTGCAAACTTTGTCGAGCTGGTATAACGCACCGCGAACGGCCTTTAAGTTCCCCGAACCCAACACATTGACAGACGGACTCCTTTTCTTCTTCTTTTTCTCTCCCCTTCGGATAATATTCATTCTGAATGGGGCAAGCATTCACACAGCATTTTCTCTGTTTTCTTCATGTATTGTTCTCCTTTCCTTCTTTCATAATTGTATAGCGGAACAAGTTGCGATCGGGTGTACGGTCACGGTCCTGGCGTCCCAGGCATAGTGACCGTATCATAGTGTATTGCCTGGGCAGAGTCGCATGTAAAATTTCTCATTGCTGTATTATCGGTTGTGTAGTTGGTGTATATCATGTATACTCTGTGGTATTTTGGTTGTCTCGATTCATTCCAGTCATTGGCCTTCATGGTTGGGCCACATTTACATACTTATACGCCACACATTGTCTCGGCAAATTAGGGGCTTTAACACAGTCGTTCACTTGCCTCACAACCGAAAGAGACAAAATTCTTCACAAAAAATACATGTTGGGCAATCGACGGCGGTTATCGCCATCTCATTCACAGTGCTTTTAGGTGCTAACAAAAACTGTCCGTGCGCGGTCAACAGCCCAGGACGCGAACAAACACGCCTAGTAGCCAGCGGACTTTGAAACCCCGAAGTCGCGTTATAAGCCCAAGTGCGAGACGCGTCGACTGTCCGTTCCCTTCCCACCACCCTTTCCCTCAGCCCTCCCTCCCACCTGCCCCCTCCCTCACATCAAACAGCTCACTATGTCTGACGACGAAGGAAGTAGCAAGAAATCTGGCTATAGGTTCGAGTATGCGCCTTCGAACAGGTCAAAATGCAAAGGCATGTCTGTGTTCATGTTGATATTCCGTCATGCGTGTCGCGCATAGTATCCCAGTTGCACAGCTGACTGACAAGCGTATTTTTATGACTTTTCTGGTGTAATCGGGCGTTTAGGTCCTAAGCCCTGTAGTGGTCAGTCGTCACGAATTGATATCCAGTGACGAGGTGCTAATTGGTGTTGGCTCGTTGAACTTGCCTTGATCTACAGGTAACACGATCGCGAAAGGCCAAATCAGGGTGGGTACCGTCGTAGACTTCAGAGGCAACACGAGCTTGTGCGTACCACCTATTTATGTCTTACGCATTTCGGCCACTGCTCTGACCATGGTTTCTTCTCCGCTCATCCGAAACGCTATGAACATCGTCCCTCTTGTCTCCTGTCTCCTTGATCGTGCTTTGATTGCCATATATTGCTCTCGACCAGTGCATGGCGTCATTGGGGCTGCGTGACCCCAAAGATCATCGGTAATATGAAGAAATCCTTCAACGAAGCTTCCGAACTCGATGGGTACGAGGATATGAAAAAGGAGGACCAGGAGCGTATCACCAAAGCTTGGGAAGACGGTCACGTCGCAGACGAAGACATCCCGGAAACCGCTCGGAAACCTGAAGGGGACGACGGTGAGGAAGATGACGAGGAGGATAAGCCTAAGAAAAAGGCCCCGGCGAAGAAGAAGGCGGCCCCGGCGGCTGATGGTGAGGAGAAGCCGAAGAGGGGCAGGAAAAAGGTTTGTCTGCTTGGACTGGATTGTTATTGTTGATTACACGCTGACATGTGTATATTTGCAGAAGGTTGAAGACGACGCTGAAGACGATGGTGAGGAGAAGCCCAAGAAGGCTCCTGCTCGTAAGCCCCGTGCTAAAGTTAGTACATCCTTCCTTTCCTGCTGTGTCGGAGCGAAATTGATGACTCTGTCATTATGATCAACAGAAAGTCGAAGAGGATGCGGATGATGCTGAGGAAACTGAGAAGCCCAAAAAGGCACCTGCTCGCAAACCTCGTGCAAAGGTAAGAGCTTCATCCTCCCTTCCATTTACTGTATCATGGATCCTGGTTTACGTTCTATGAACTCTTTCTAGAAGGTCGACGAGGACGCAGATGGTGATGACGCAGACGCAAAGCCTAGGAATGCGCCACCTAAGAGGGCAGCTGCAACGAAGGCGAGCAAGAAGGTAGCGAAAGATGCGGAGGAAGAGGACGAGGAAGAAGAGGAGAAGCCCAAGAAGAAGGCTCCTGCCAAGAAGGAGCCTGTCAAGAAGGCGGTGGTGACGAAGAAAGCACCAGCTAAGAAAAAGGTCAGTTGCTCTTCCATCTCCAGCCGCTCAGTGCCATCACGCACGATGGCTCACTCCTTGTGTTCTATCTTCATAATATTTATAGGCAAAGGTTGATGACGATGAGTCCGGCGAGGACTTCACGAAGGATATGGATGATGTCCCGAATGGTGAGGACGACAATGAACCCTCCGCGGAGGAAGAAGACAGCAAGAAGCGGAAGGTAAGACTTGATTTTTATTTGTCTGTCATGATCGTTTCATTGACATTGACATCGGCATCTCTAGCGTCCGGCGTCGAAAGCATCAACCAAGCCTGCCTCCAAGCGCGCGAAGCCGGCGTCAAAAGCTAAGAAGACCAAGCAAGTCGTCGAAGAGGACGAAGATGAGGACTAAGCTGTTGAGCCTGCGGGCAATGCGCAGCATGGGTGTCTGCCCGAGCTCCTTGCTGAGGACTCCAGGACTGCTCCTTCGTTCTCATCTCTTATTCTTGTACATTGACTCTCCAACTCCATATCACGTATTACTTCCTGCCCCCCGGTCTTGGGGGCTGCGCTTCATTTGGTGCCATTCTGTCACTGTGATACCTCTGCTCTGTGTTCACGTCTGTAATACTACCTTGTCATAATGCATGTGATTATACTCTAGAACTACTGCAAGCTCTGTCTTCGGCAGTCCTCTGACCGATCACGAACGAGTTGTACACTGCTGACAGCTGTTCACTCCTGATGTGGGCCACATCAGCGATCTTACTTGCGCCACACCGTTTATAGTTCGATTTAGTTCAACCCGATATTGCTTCCGATGGAGACTACTTAGTACTCTTTACAAGATTCTACAGTGCGTAGGTGGCGTAACTACTGGCTCGGCGCAAAGCTCGGGTGGTACTCTTATGTGACATACTGACTGGGAAGGGGTATGAACATGCAAAGAACATTGAGAGCCATGGCTAGGACCTATAACGTGCGACGGAGATTAGCACAAGGACAAATCAGTCTCGAGACAACTTCTAGTACGTATTGAGATAATAGAAACCGTGTACGCACGCCAGAGATCCACCAGGCCTTAGCATAGCCGTTGGCGGCATGGAAGCGAAATATGAGCGCGAAAAATATTCCACCTATCGAAACACAGCCAAATGCGAGTTAGCGTCTACTCGCGCAAGAGAAACTAACAAGATCATGAAACGGGTCAACATACCCAGATTTCCCATCCCGCCAACAAACCCCGACATAACACCAATATACGACGCATTAACATGCGGCACCAGGGAGAAATTCGCTCCGTTGGCCATCTCGCAGAATAACGCCATCAGCACGACCAACGCTATCTGCACACCAAGTGACGGTATTCTGTCATTGTTATATTCGTGCTGCATCCAGAGACCATATGCAAGCGTGCAGACGCCCTGAAGGAAGCCTAGTGCGGCTGTAAGATATTGTTTGGCCTTGACGCCTCTGCTGCGGTAGACGAGGTCGCCGCAGTAGCCACCTAGGGGACGGGTGACAAGGTTTAGGAAACCAAAAATAGCTGGATAATCGAGAAACCAACGAGGTTGTCAGCGTGTTACCTTCGGTCTGGAACTCAAGTGGAAGAGGGCAACGTTGATCAAAGGGGAGGGAAGACATACAAGCGTAGTACCCAGCCTTGGTCTGTCCAAAGCCAGACGGGTTTTGCTGCGTGTTATACAACACAGTTGCAAGGTTGGCATCGACACAGAGCTCAAACCCAAATGTGGTCAGATACATCCTGCATGTTCAGCCTTATTAGCATTTAGCGCGTAGGATGTACTGGTAGGAAATACGAAGCCCCCAATGAAGAGGGCAGCTTACAGTGCACAAAGCCAAGTATGTGGCATCGCGAAGATCTTGCATGCTACCTTGAGGGTCAGACGCTCAGGGACGGCTATGTCTATTGGCGCGTTGATATCATCGGCTAGATGAAACAAAAAAGTTGCATATGTATTAGTATCAGATGAAACGAAGAATAGTCAACACAAGTAGATTTGGATGGTGACTACATCGCAGGCACTCAAAAAAGGGGAAATTTATTGCCTTCTTTTTCGATCGGCTGCACGTCCACCGCCTTCGCACCTTTTTCTTCGTCTTTATGCTTCTCGGTCGAGACAAAGTGCCCGCTCTCTTCATTCCTACTCAGTGGTGGTCTGATAAGAGTATGTCGGTCGCTCCATGGGCCAGCAGGGCAGTCGGTACCAAATATCAAGGTCAGAACGGCAACGGACAGTAGGATGGGGACGGGGACGATAGCGAATGCCGCACGCCAGGCCGTGTGTACAGACATACCGTCTGCGCGCAGGCGGTCAAAAAGCGAGGTTTGAACGACGAACGTTACGCCACCACCCTAGAGACGTAACCACGATTTTTTGTTAGAGACTGTGGCACGCATAATTTGATAAGAATAAGCGGTTATACGTGCCATATTGCCCCAACCTGCTACAAGAGCATTGGCAGTGCCGACAATTTTCTGGACAGATAGGATGAAATTTCATGAGAAGCGTAAGTAGGAAGGAAGGAAGGAAGGAATTAGATGGTGCACATAGCTACATACCTTGTCAAAGAATACAGAAGTCCAGGCCTGGCAGGGAACGAACGTTGCTATACGATGGAGCCATAACGCAAGCGTGGAACAAGTTCAGGTCAAGAGAAACCTTTCGAAGTCCGGTATAGGGGTTCTCCTAGCCTACCTCCGAGGATACCGATGAAGAACCGGACGGCGTAAAGACCACCCGCAGTGCTTATAGTTCCAGCGAGACCAGATGGAATGGCGCCAACGATCAAGATCGCAGCCATACTTCACGGTCAAGATGAAGGCTTCATCAGCGACGCAGCTCTGTGATACATCCAGATAGCATAGTTTCACCATTTGCGGGGACCCCAGCTGTCGCAAGCGGGTCCTACGATAAAGCGGACGATCTATGACAGGCAATTTCTGTAATGAGTCACTTCTTCGAAGACACTGCGTGAGAGCGAGAGATGAATCATAGGACATACTAAGGTAGCCAAGAGCGCGATGATGTTGGAAGTTCCTGTAAGTGCCATGATAATGAGCGTCCGTCGGAATGGCCGCAATGTGATTGAAGAAAGCACCGATTTGTTCGGTCGTCAGAGCCAAATCGCTCTTTATAGCTCTGCGTGAGATCAACAGAGTCAGCAGTAAAGCTAAACAAAACGGAACGGATCACTGACACTGGTGTCAACGGCGAGAAGGCGAACCACGACAGAAATGCCACAAAGAACCCCACTGGAAACGAAAAAGATATCAGGCGCCGGCCAGAGAGGGTAGTTTGGGGCAAAGATCAGATGGGTTTACCCCATGCGAGGTGAAAGCTACGACCGTAAGGGCTCCACAAATTTAGTATGGGCAGTGTCCTGCTCTTGCCATTGACAGGGTTGATGACTGGTTGAGACCAGAGAGAAGAGGTCTTAGACGAACGGGCCTCGGTTGTAGGCAAGTCTGCAGATCCGGAGGATGCTGTGTGGGCATGGGTGGACATGTCGCTGCCAGTGCTCCTGGGGGAGGTGATGAAGGCTACTCGTCTGACTTCGGTAAGACACAGATTCAAAGTAAAGGCGCGTCTCTGGAGGGAGGAGGTAAGTGAGAGGGTATTCATAGGTCTCTGCCCTGAACCTGACCTATGCGCGCAGATCCAGGCCTTAGTTGGCCATGAATGCCTCTGCCGCAGACTCGGAATTGCCGAAACTCATTTGAGGCCGTTCTGAACACCTATGGACACCCATCCACTAGAACCACCGGTGACGATCATGTATGACCTAAATGATTGTATACTTAATTGGGCGGCTGGTAGTTGTTCGGATAAGGTCAACTTTATCAGGGATGGCGTAGCCAAGTCGCGCGTCCCCGCGGCAGTCGCGCGACATTTTATGCGTAAGTGGAGAGCCTCTGCGTCTATACGGAGCAGAAGGAAAGAAGGCCCCAACATTCACATAAGCAATATCGCCCTTATCATGAGCGCCAGCCAAGTTACGACATTGCTTTACAAGAAGAGGTCCAGAGCTGGAAGAAGTTTGCGACGATTGCATCAGGTCGTGGATGTACGCACATATGTGGAAAGGCGAACACACCTACCTGAATTCATTCTCTTTCGTTGATTGCACCATCAAATGCAGACGAAAGCGCCACCTCTCTCGGACCTACTATCAGTTCAAAGAACGTCACACGACTTTACTCAGAAATACATGAAGCAAGGTCTTTGGCCCTCACCGTTCTACCCACCGTCGCTCGTGCCACGACAGCTCATCAGCGATAGGCCTGCGACAAAGGTACCGGAACTGCCGAAAGAGTTTCCTCCCTTACCTTCTTGTGATGCGCCTACAGAGCAGGACGCAAAGGACAAGGGCACTCCAGACCAGTGGATCGTCAGAGATGAACGGCTCGTTAGACTAACTGGGCGCTGGCCCTTCAACTCCGAACCGCCCCTGCCAGACCTGTGGGAAGCGGTAAGTGCTGCTCGACTATAGTCAGCAATCTGCGAAGAGACCAATGCCAGTCGAAAAAATGCTAATATACTGTCTGTCAGGGTTTCTTAACGCCATCACGTCTCTTTTTTGTCCGTAACCACGGCGGCGTCCCTCGCGTCTCGATACAAGAGGCAGAATCCTGGTCTATAACGATCTCTGGGTGAGCGAAAAGTCATTCGTGACAGCAAGAAGTCGAACAATGTTCCGCTTTTTCAAGTTTGTCTAGTGTTGTTGATTATTTTCCCACGCCTCACTTCAGGCTCGTTCGGAAACCGCTGACGCTCACCTTAACTGACCTCCAAGATCCCAGTCAATTCGACACTGTCACTCTCCCTGTCACTCTCGTATGTGCTGGTGCGCCGAACCCGTTGTATCATCCATGCTGTGGGGTATCTGATCTTCATACTCAACCGTAGGAAACCGCCGCAAAGAACAAAACGTTGTTCGTAAAAGCCTTGGGTTCAGCTGGGGTGCTGCAGGCCTTTCGACTTCTCTGTTCACCGGTGTTTACCTTGCGGACGTCCTCGCTAAACTCGATATTGTGACCGAAGGCACCTTTGGCGAGCCAGGATTCAAGCGTGCCGAACATGTCATCTTTGAAGGCGCAGACGATCTACCTGATGGAAAATATGGGACCAGCCAGAGGTATAAGTGGGCAAAGAACAAGGACAAGGGGATGTTACTTGCTTGGGCAATGAATGGTCAGGTCAGTACTCAGTCTTGAGTTGGTCTTTACCCCTCTGTTGCTGCTTCTATCTTCCATGCATGTATGTGTTGGTAGTAGCGCTCATGCTAACTATGACGACAGCCGCTGGAACCCGACCATGGCTATCCGCTAAGATTAGTCGTCCCAGGCCAAATTGGAGGACGCAGTGTCAAGTGGCTCAAGAAGATCGAAGTTTCGCATGTCGAGAGCTCCCACCATTTACACTACTGGGTACGCTATCCTGATTATGTCAGACCCAAGTTGGCTGCGAGATTGATTGGTGAAGTAGGATAATAAAGTGCTTCCGTCCTCTGTTATGCCTGAAATTGCTCGAAGTCAACGAGAATGGTGGTATGACCCTCGGTAAGTTATGCCTCGAATATATGCTTAAGTCCATAATATCTTGACCCCAGTCCTCAGATACATCATCACCGACCTGAACACAAACTCCGCCATCGCAAAACCTGCACACAATGAAACAATCTCTTTCAATGCGCATGAAAGCTCGAACACTTACCGACTGGCTGGCTACGCCTATGGCGGCGGTGGTCGGCGCATCACTCGAGTTGAGATCACCCTTGACGCAGGGCAGACGTGGCTTCTCGCTGCCATCACCTACCCGGAGGATTTGTTCCGCCAGCGCGCTTTCAAGGATCCCGTTTTGGGTACACTCGACTTGACGGACCGCGAGGAGTGTTTCTGCTGGTCATTCTGGCATCTTGACGTCCCTCTATCTGCCCTCGAGAAGGCGGGGAGTGTTGCGGTGAAGGCGATGGATGAAAGCTTGCATGGTCAAGGCAAGAGCATGTACTGGAATGCTACAGGGATGATGAAGTCGGTTTCACCTTCTGTCTTGTATCAGAAAGTCGCTGACTCTTCATGATTCCTTTCCCACCAGCAATTGGTGGTTCCGTGTAGCCCTTCACCGAACTGTAGAGGAGGAAAACATCATCCTCCGATTCGAGCACCCCACCATGCCCGACAACCAACCAGGATGGATGGAACGCCTCAGAAATCTCGGACAAGACGTCTCTGACCCTGTATTCATCTCCGCTGTCTCGACCTCTCCCTCTGTCGTCGGACGTTCCGGGTATATACCAGAGTCTGCTCACGCTGCCACCCCTACCGCCGCCATTCCTACCGCCGCCATTGTGATGACCAAAGCCGGTGTCGATCGTAAGATCACAGCGAACGAGCTTGAGGCACACTCGAGCGCAGAAGAGCCATGGTTTGTTGTCGAGGGAGAAGTATACGACGCCACACCGTTCTTGAGTAAACATCCCGGCGGTTCGGACTCGATCACGATTGTGGCGGGCCAGGACGCCACAGAGGACTTCATGGCCATTCACTCCACCGCTGCTAAAGTCCAACTCCAAGAATTCCACATTGGTACGCTTACCTCGAGCATCAGTGCCACACCAAATCATGCGGTAGCGGTGCAAAAGGAAGACCGGCGGGGACCAGACGAAGTCTTTTTGCAGCCGAGGTGGAAGCAGGCGAAACTGGTCGCGGTGGAGAAGGTCTCGCACGATTCGAAGCTTTTTAGGTTCGAGTTAGAGACTCCAGAGCAGAGGCTAGGGTTGCCCTGTGGGCAACATGTGTACGTAAGATTGCAGAGAAAGACGGAGAGTGAGAGGAACAAAGTAGTGGATGCGAGGAAGGACTGGGTCCAGAGGGCGTATACACCTGTATCTTCGGCGGATACTTGTGGGATACTTGACCTGCTCATCAAGGTAAAGTACTGGAATATCTATCTAAGTTTTCCGCTTGGCCTGCTCATAGCTCTCCATCAGGTATACCATCCTACGACTGCGTTCCCTCTGGGAGGAAAAATGACACTGGGATTCGAAGAGCTTTGTATTGGTGATCATTTGGAGTTCAAGGGTCCGTTGGGCGGTTTTGAATGGTTGGGCAGCGGAGTGGCTAGGTGGCGCGGAAAAGAGCGCAAGGCGAAGCATATTGGCATGATCTGTGGTGGAAGTGGTAGGTTTCCTCGTATCATTCCTGGTAATATCTCCCCGTCGCTCGTTCTTGGTTTTTGACAAGTCGACCTTTCCCATCTCTATCCGCAGGCATCACGCCGATATACCAAGTACTCCGCACCATTATCAACGATACGGGCGACCAATCGACCGAAATTTATCTTCTCAATGCCAACAAGACGCAGGATGACATCCTCCTCCACTCCGAGCTCAAATCGCTTGCACAGCAGATCTGTTCGGATCGTTTTCGGTCGTATTATGTCCTCTCCGACGCTCCTGAGGGATGGAAGGAAGGTAGAGGAAGAATCACGCAAGACATGCTGAAGAGGTATATGCCAGAGCCGGCTGACGATAACCTGATCCTGGTTTGTGGGCCGGAGCAGATGATTGAGGAGACGGTGAAGCCTGGTTTGACCGCTCTAGCTTGGAATATCGAGAAGTCCTTGGTCGTGTTCTGATTATCGTGGCTTTAAGGTGTACCGTAAACTTCCCTCAGAATTCTTTTTTTTTTGCATTGTTTGCGTAGAAAGGCTTGAACAAGGTCATCGTAGATCAGTCGCTGGACAAGTTCATTCTACAAATAGCGTGAAAATGTAATTGTGGCGCCAGAGTGTCGGGCCTGCCGCCGTCAACTTGAAGGACGTTTGGTTCCGAATTTCAAGCAAATTTCTGCTCTCGACGTCCAAGGTCTAGCAACACCACGAACTCCTGCTTCCCCGTTCACCAACAGATATACTGTTCCGACATTACGCGGACATATGCTTCTTTTGATTGGACCGCTTGATCCTGATAAACCTTGACCAACGGTCGTTCAGACTTTTCCTTTTCAGCTGGGCCAACCAAGTCAGCTGGATGCGTAATATCCTCCCGTGTCTACTCCCCATTGCACCTCGCGGCGACGCCCAAGATTATTAGGAAGTGGCGTCTTGCGGTCATTGACTTTAAGGCAGGCGAACGTAAACCCGTCAGTGCGCCCAGGCGGAGAGTAGGCCCACGGCTAGTCAACCAGAACAAAAGAGAAGCGATATCGCTCATTCAAGCCTCATTCCATCCCACGGATACTATCTGTGCCAGGTGGCTGACCCCTAGGAATACACTTTCCCTCTTCCTTGCGAAACTCTATATCTACTGCGACAACTCGGGTTAAACGTTTGCCGCCCACAGTAGCGCGGAGGCGGTTGCAGGACATCGTGAGCAAAAGTGAGAGTTGGCCGTGTATCCACTGCTTATACAAAGCCGTTCAGCAAGGAGATGAATGATACAATCTGAGGTGAGTATGTGAGCCGGCTGGGATGTCTTTGCCACCATTTGCCACTTCCTCTCCCCTTCCCTCCGACTGAAACTCTCTTTAGATCATCGAATACCCTACGCGCTTTTCTCACTCACAGGGAGGCCAACGACGCCGCCCTACCTCTCAGACTGGTATCTATCTGCCTCTCGGAAACAGAGTTGGGTTTCGTCCCATATATACTACTTCGTCTTCGTGGCCTTAGACTCACAACCTCGCCTTCAACATCACTCGATCTTGTTGGATCCCAATGAGCTCTGACGCATCGCCCTTCACGAGTCGTGATGGAATGCCGAGGAAGACTGTTTTCGTTGTGGGCCTTGGCATGGTCGGGATAGGTACGCACCTCACCAGATTATCCAGTAATGCATTTACGAAGCCATCGTAGCATTTATCGAGAAACTGCTCAATCTTGACGAGGCACGCCGATACTCGATCGTGACATGTGGCGAGGAGACCCATCTTGCGTACAATCGCGTGGGACTCACAGAGTACTTCCAGCATCGGAGCGTGGAGAACCTCTATCTCAACAGTCCGAGCTGGTATGCAGAGCAGGAAAATGATAGATTCTCATTTCATGTCGGAGAGCAGGTCAATTTCATCTCCTGAAGGTGGATATCGGGCGGTTGTGCTTACGCCACAATAGGTAACGAGTGTTGACACAGCCAAAAAGAAGGTCTATACATCAAGAAACAATGCCTTCGAGTGCGTAATACCTTTCTAGTTATCTGATTTTCTAAAATACAGACTGAAATTCCTTCGCTCAGTTATGACATCCTCGTTCTTGCGACAGGCTCGGGAGCCGGCCTTCCTCCATACATTTCTCTGGAGCGCGCCGAGAAGACTAGAGGTATGGCATACACGGATATAATCCTAATCACAAATAGTATGTATATTGATTATGCAAGTCAGGTGTTTTCGTCTACAGGAATATCGCAGACCTTGAAGCCATCATTGCCTATTCGGAGCGACCCGAAGTCAAGAGCGCTTCTGTTATTGGTGGTGGGGTATGTGGCACATCTTGACTACCCAGTTCTCTTTCTTATCAGTGACCTTTTGGGTCAGCTTCTGGGTCTCGAAGCCGCCAAAGCCGTCTACGATATGCCCCAAATTGATGAAGTCTCGATCGTCATCCGCCAACCATACCCTCTGAATCGTCAGGTGTGTGGCGAATCATTAACCAACTATTCTTCTCCTTCTCTCTTCCTCTCAACGCTTATGTTCCCCTCCTCCTTCATAATTTTACAGCTTGACGCTCCTGCTGGCGAGCTCGTCCTCCGCAAGATTGAAGACATGGGCGTCAAAGTCCACACCCGCACCGCTGCCTCCGACATCATCACTTCTACCGACTCCGCCACTGGTTCAGAGGTTTACAAAGGTCTCAAAGTCGGTGAATCCATCCTGCCCTCCAATCTCGTCATCTTTGCTATTGGCATCAGCCCGAGAGATGATCTGGCCAGGAAGTCTGGTATCAAGTGCGCGGAGAAAGGAGGGATTGAGGTGGGCGATGATCTGATGACGAGTGCGGAGGGAGTCTATGCTATTGGAGAGTGCGCAAGTTGGAAGGGGAAAGTCAGTTCATTCTCGCGAATTGTTTCCGTTGCTTTGGTAGACTTAACACTTACGATCGTGATTTGTTGGTCAGACGTACGGATTGATTGCTCCCGGAGTGGAGATGGCGGATATCCTCTCGTTCAACCTTGTAAGTACACGACATCGCTCCCTCTTTGCCTTCACTACTCACCGGCCACTATTGTCTCTACTCGCAGACCCAGACCGACTCACATGCCCCGCGTAAAATGAACGACCCCGATCTCTCCACCAAGTTGAAGCTCATGGGCGTCGACGTCGCCTCCTTCGGTGATTACTTTGCCGACAGTCGCATGGGAGACACGCCCCTCGCGAAGTCGCTCAAGAGCGCTTCCGCCGGAGTTGGGCCCACCTCCGCCGCCACTGCCACCCAAGGCGTGGACAAAACTTCGGATAATGCGGACAAGGCTACGGTCAAAGGAGCGGAAGCGAAAGAGAGAGCGGCCAAGGTCTGGGAAACCACAGGGATCGAACAGGCAACGAATCTAGTGGACTTAGGATCGACGGTGTCTTTGAAGAAACCCAACGGCGAAGACAACGGTGCTGCTGCGGGAAGTGCGGGAATAGATCAAGGGCATGGTCACAAGAAGCGGGATAATAGCAACGAGCCGGTCAAATGCTTGACCTATCATGACCCCTTCTCATCGACGTACAAGAAGTATATCTTCACGGCCGATGGTCAATATCTGCTTGGCGGAATGATGATTGGAGAAACCGGTGATTTCACGAAGATGGTGTCGATCGTGAAAAAGAAGGTCTGTTCATTCAAACATCACACTGACATCCCTTTCAAAAACCTCCCGGTATATTAAGAATACTTAGTCTTTCTTTTTAGAAAAAGCTGGAGGTAGCACCTTCGGAGTTCATCATAGGTGTAAAGAAAGCCGGAGATGATGACGGTGCAGATCTGGACGATGACACTCAGATCTGTTCATGCCACGTATGTCCCGCGGAAGTCTCTTTCTCAACCATCACTTACGTGCCTGTTTGAAAGAATGTGTTAAAAGGAGCCATCAAGAAATGTATCAGCGAAGGTATCACAGACCTTTCTGAAATCAAAAAGAAGACGAAGGCTGGATCAGGCTAGTCCTTCAAACCTCTCTACCTTAACGCATACATCGCTGATGCATCTTGTCGATACAATTTGATGTTCGAAATGCGATTTAGGTTGTGGTGGCTGTGTACCTCTCGTTACAAGCATCTACAAGGCCGAGATGAAGAAATTCGGTCAAGAACTCAACAACAAGTAGGTTTCTCTTGTCGCTCGCTTACTTGCCGTCCTCAGGCTTTCGGCATGTCTATATTCTTCTAGCCTCTGCATTCACTTCAACATGTCGCGCGTCGATCTCTTCCAGGTCGTCAAGATCAAGAAGTTCAAGGATTTCAGGGCCATCATGGAGACTGTCGGGGTAAATCCGGAGTCGCAAGGTTGCGAGATCTGCAAGCCGGGCATTGCGAGTATCTTATCGTCGTTGTACAACGAGCACATTATGAAGCCCGAGCACCATGGGTTGCAGGATACGAATGATCGGTAAGTGGATGTCCGCGTACTTCTCCCAGACTGCTCGCTATTTTTGTCGTGGCCATACGCTTAGATTAGGAACTAATCATCGTTCAAACAACCAGCTTTTTGGCAAACATCCAGAGGAACGGAACATTTTCTGTTATCCCTCGCATTGCGGGTGGTGAGGTAACGCCTGAAGGCCTGATCGCTATCGGGCAAGTAGCGAAAGAATACGGTCTGTACACCAAAATCACCGGAGGTAAGCCTTTGCCCCCGTCCATTCGTCACCACAGCCCCGTCACGTTCTTTTGCATTGCTTTTTAGGACAACGCATCGATATGTTCGGTGCCCAGAAGCAAGACCTTCCCGCAATCTGGAAGAAGCTCATCGACGCAGGATTTGAATCTGGCCACGCCTATGGCAAGTCACTACGTACGGTCAAATCCTGCGTGGGAACCACATGGTGCAGGTATGGAGTGGGTGACTCTGTCGGGTTGGCGATCGAGTTGGAAAACAGGTACAGAGGGGTGCGAAGTCCGCATAAGTTCAAGGGAGGAGTTAGTGGATGCGTGAGGGAATGTGCAGAAGGTGAGTTGCAATCCTTTTTGTTACAGCCGGTTACATGCGCTCAACATCCATCCGTGTTTCAGCGCAAGGCAAGGACTTCGGGCTTATTGCCACCGACAAGGGGTGGAACAGTGATTATCATTGTTTTCCTCGGCCTTCACATAAACTATAATATTTATGATATTTTTCTGGTTGCAGTTTTTGTAGGTGGCAACGGAGGCGCCAATCCAAGACATGCAACCCTTTTTGCCGCAGACGTACCGCCCTCAAAAGTTGTTCGCATCATCGACCGATATCTGATGTTCTACATCCGGACTGCGGACAGGCTTGCCAGGACAGCGAGGTGGATAGAGAGCTTTGAAGGTGGCATTGAGGTGTGTCGTCGTTGTACGAGTAGTATGGGCTCACAGGCTCATCAATCCGAACAATGTAGAAACTGAAGAAGATCATCTTGGATGACGAGTTGGGTATATGTGCAGATCTCGAGGCAGAGATGGACGCCTTGATAGGGACGTACGAGGATGAGTGGGCGAAGGCAGTAGCAGACCCCGATGTTCGGAAGCAGTTCAGGCAGTTTGCAAACACCGTACGCTCGGTTGCTCTTTCATTCCTGTTTCATAGTGTCACTCACTGTTGATGTCTTTGCGGTATTCATTGTGGCATTCTCCGATACTCTGTGCGATGTCAATTACCGCCATCCTGCATTCATCGACTCGGGCAGGACGAGACCCGACCACAAACCGAGATCATTGTGGAACGGGGCCAGCACCGACCCGCCGACTGGCCCAAAAGCTTTCCGGGGCAGAAGTTTGAGGCAAACCAAGTTTCAACACCACCAGAGCAGTGGAACTGGGTGAAGATGGCGACGGTAGAAGATCTAATGCCAAATGATGAGAATACGACGTTCGTGCTTTTTATCCACCGCGTGCAGATCCATGGAACTGTTGACGCCTAAGTTGACGTTCTTCTGTGATGGATTACAGGAGCGCGGCAGTACGGTACGGGCAGGACTCGCAACTTGCAATATTTCATGTACCGAGGAAAGGGTACTTCGCTACACAGCAGATGTGTCCTCATAAACGTGCCTTCGTTCTCGACCATGGTATCATAGGAGACGACAAGAACGGGAACATCTACGTTTCTTGTCCGTAAGTCACCGGTTCTTTGTTTGTTTTGATGTTTCATTTACTTACATGCTCCAAACCTCGGGTCAGTCTTCACAAACGCAACTTCCGTCTTGACACCGGTGACTGCCTGAATGACGACGAGTACAAAGTCCTCGCGTTCGAGGTGAAGGAAGATGAGACTGGGAGTGGAGATCTATTGGTCAAACTTCCACCGCCGGATGAATTGGATGCATTAATTGGGAGCTCGAAGTGGATGGGTAGGTGATGACGCCCTTTTCAATCTATCTAAAATGCTGATAGCGTGGTTCGTCTTGTGTGTTATGTTATACAGTGCGTAAGGCAACGGCAGAAGCTCTTGGCCGGAATGCAGCGACGAAGATCGAGATTGTTGGATTTGACGGCCAGCTCAGAGATGGAATGACGCACGATGGAGGTATTGAGGTAAATGCAGGGTGTAGCGGAGGGGAATGCGGAAATAGCAAGCTTGAGTGGTGAGGGATCGAGTGGTGACGAGTCAAGTTGTCGCCAAGGAGCATTGACGCCTCCAAGAGCAATAGTTTGCCTGTCACTACGCAAATTGTTTCGCCACAATTCGGTGAATGGGTCATCTTCATGTAATGTCCATATCTGTATCATGTTCCAATACTAAAATTACGAAGTCAATCACACTGGGTCCATACTCGTCAGCGCCTCGTATCGCCCCAAAATTTGTGACACCTCGTTCGACTCCAGATAGCCGTGAAGCCCGAGGCCCTGCTTTCTCAATATATTAGCAATACGCATATACAATGGCTAGGAAGATAGCCATACCACCAATAGATTCCGAAGCGCACGCCACCCGGCACCTTTGTGTATGAGCTGCCAATTATCCTCCACGAACTTGAGCGCTCCTCTTAGATGATCCTTCTTGAAGCCATTCCTAGAGCGTAATGACATGTAAGCGGAAATACGCTAATGCAACTCAGAGGAACTCAGCGAAGTCACCGGTGGGAAAACATCCATCGCATCCACAGCGCATTCAAGACTTGATTCTCTGGCCTGAGACTCTCGTCATCGAACATCTCCTCTTCTCTATCCCTGATCTGCGGTGCATACTTCCCAAACGCCTTCATCGGCAACGTCCCCAACAGATCGGGAAGCTGAGCCCCTCCAACACGACAAGAGTACCATAATGGTCTTTCTTCCGGTACGCCAGAACTGAGGTAGGATTCTGCTTGAGGCCCGAAGGGGTCAGCGCGTCTTGATGGGGCGGTGGTAGATGCGCCGGCTTGGATATTAGAGAATGGTATTTGGTTATTTGAGGAGGAATCTTGGGCGGGACCGTTGTGAGAGATGGGCTGATAGTAATTAAACTTATGAACAGGAGGGGGAGGTCGCTCCGGAGCTGCCGGCTCGGGCGGCGGGGGAGTCGAGAGTGCTTCGGGAGGCATATGATAATCTGTAGAAATGACCTCGGGGGTGCGTGATGCGATGGTAGACGTAGGCTTGGATATATCGTCGTCGTCATCATCAGACTCAGACTCAGAGCTTGAACTATTGAAAGACATGAGACTAAGCAGGATGCATAAAGGGAAGACTTTTAGAAGAAATACCTTGGCGGGGGTGACTCAGTATCATCATCCAAGTTGCGCTCTGGAACGATTATTGTAAGTTTACAGCCCTGCGCAGTCATCAGAAACCAGGTTCAATATAAGAGGAAAAGCCAAGGCGGACCTCTTGTTCATTCTCAGGGATGAAGTGTATTCTCCAGTCCTTGTGATCCCTTTCGAAATGAAAGTGCAGCATGTACCATGTTTCAAACGCGTCGCTGAGATGGTAACAAAGGGGACAATTCCACTCTGTGAACCGTTCTCTATGCCCAATATCCTTGCCGTTCGGGACATCGTCCTCATTGCAGTCTGAGTCTAGCACAATAATGAGAATACCGGGTTTATGAGGCGAATCCCGTGGTGAAACGCGTATTCCCCTTCTTTTACAGAAGGAGCGAAATCCGCTACGAAAGGCTCTCCTCGTGAATGGAAGACTAGTTTTGACCCAATTCGGGCCTAGAGGGGAGACATGATAGTCGAGAAGTTCCTGAATGACACGATTCTTGGAGTTTATGGCTCGAGCCGTTGCACGACCCTCCTCCTCGTCGTCGCTGTCAGACAAGATCTCAATAAATACGGGATCTTCCGATGTTGGGCACAAGAGTGTTAGTAAAGTCAAAGGGAGAAGAACGAGGTAGTGACATATATACCTGGATTGCCCTTCGTGGATTTCCGTCCAGTTTGCATGATAGTCCGACGCTTGAGAGCTAAACCAGGGGGTCTGTCTTTCGCGTGCACAGCCGGTCTAAATCGAGCAATCTCAGCGCAAGAAAATCGAGCTTTTGAGAATCTGACACGGACGTAACAACCATCCTGCGCTCCTCATCATCATCATGAGTATCATCATCGTATGCGATATTGAAATTTAGATCCAGGTATGCGAGAGGCACAGACGCTGTGGTAGCATTGATGATCTTCTCCCTGCTCGCGTTCATTGTGAGGCGTCTTTGAGGGATGAAATCTTCGTCAATAAAGTCCGCGCCAGTTCGATGCTTTTTGGCGACAGAGCGTTTATGGGAATTGGAGGCGGTCATCCTGGATGCTCCGTTCCTTGGGGCATCTGGGCCACGGCCTTGGATATGAGGAGACCATTCAGTGAGTATGAGAGAAACGTCCTGTATGTACGTGACATTTACCTGCAGTCTTCTTGAAGACTCTTCGCGTCGAATTGCTGGATGAGACCTATACGAACGGGTTCGAATATAATTCGGTTAAAGGACAATCGCAGAGCGCTCACGTCGGCTAGACGATGTTGGTTGTTTGGCGTTATCATTGAAGGTCCTGGCCTGCGTACACCAGGCGTCGAAGGCTCTCCGTTGGGACGTGTGCCACCGCCAGTCTGCTTTCTCGCTCTCAACGGAGGTGCTGCAGGTTGTGGCTCAGCAGGGCCTCGGGCGGTTTTGCGAGCGCTCCCGGTCCTAATTTGTTGATGGGGTCTACGGTGTACATCCTCATCCTGGGGCATGATGTGCCGTGCTGACGTCACAGAAACTGTATATGTGCAAAGTAGCCTAGATGAATAGTTATTCAAAAAGAAATAAAAAGAAGAAGAAAGAGGACAAAGAGATCCCAGGCAAGAATAGATCGCTCAACATTACGGACGTTAGTGAGGGTGGATACTGATTTGTTTCGAGCGAAGGAGAAATGCTGGAATCCACTTGTAGCGAGCGCTTGGAGATGCCCCACACCCTATCGATCGTGTTACCGTGCTTGCACCAGACTTTCTTGTTGATCGCTCTTCCCGTTGGCAGTACGGTCAACGAGCTTTCGTTCGATTTATCGAAATCGATTACACTGTCAACCAGTGCAGTTGTACGGTGGGAGTTGCGAGGTAGGAGGGCGAGAACGCGGGAAAGTGAAAGATCGCCGTCGCGGTGTCAGCATCTGCGCCACGAAGTTGATTCCTGTTTGTTTGTTGTGCCAGTGGCGGCGACTTGTTTGGCTTTGTTAGGATCGGAAGCCATCGCCTCCCGCGACTGTTCCGCTTGGTCGTCCTTCCAGTATCTGACCGGGCGGCTCACCCTTCCCGCCTTCTCCTATCGCATCACTCTTCCTGAAGCTTCACTACTACATATATAGGTAAGTCTTGATTATCGGAAGATTGGGTTTATCGAATACGCATGCGTAGTAGTACTTAAGTATCGGATGAGTCCTTCAGTCCTAAAGGTCTCCTAAGTTTGCATCTCATTTCAACAACCACAATTAGCCGTCAGTTCGTCTTGTCTCGCTGCTACGAGCCACTAAATCGACATCATGTCTACCTCCAATGAAAAGAACGTTGTTGTGCTTGGTGCGGGTGCGTACAAGTTGTATCTCTACATGCCGTGGCCTACCATTTTCTGGAGTCTTGCCCACGTATCTTTCAGGGCCAGCCGCATAGTAGCATGGCCGTCTCGTCCTCTTTGAAAGTACAGATGGTAGCTTCCGATGAATCAACTAATCTGCGGGTTTGGTACCAGGTGTTATCGGATTGACCACTGCCATAAAGATCCAAGAGCAAGGAGGATACCGAGTCACCATCGTTGCAGAACAATTCCCTACTGATCCGAAATCGGTCAAGTATACGAGTCTTTGGGCAGTAAGCGATTGATTTTTGGGCTCGCGTTCCACAGTTTACAACTTACGAATCGTTATATTGCGCACGGTGGCCGTCTAGGGTGCTCATCATGTCTCTTCACCGGAATATCCGTTGAAGGCAGGTAAGTCGCCCTGAACTTTCCATCATAAAATAATCAGTCTCTTTATCGTTTCTCCCCTGTCTCTCTCGACAGAGCTGGAGAAAGAGACGTTCAAGACGCTCTGGGAGCTCTCTGCAGAAGGAAGTCCCGCACAGCGCTGTTTCATCAGAGCAAAGCAGACCGAGTACTACACCATCCAGCGTGAGGACCCGGACTATCTTTCTTTCATGCCAGATGTAAGTTTACCCATAGTTTCTGCCTTTTGGCTGTTCTCATGTAGTTGTGTCATTATGAAGTTCCAGCATCTCCCTCTCGACGCTATCCCCTCGGGCATCAAGGGCGCTCTTGCCGGCGTGACTTGCACCGTACTTAACATCGACACACCGGCCTACCTTTCCTACCTCCTTGCTCGCTTCATGTCGGGTGGGGGCAAGATCATTCGAGGAGCCGTACAACACATCAATCAGATCCTTGAAGGTGGACCTCGCGTCTTCTCGCAACCACCGAGTAAGATAAAAGAACCCGTGGATGCCTTGGTTGTCTGCGTCGGTCTCGGGGCTCGGTCTTTAGGAGGGATCGAGGATCAGGATATGTATCCGATCCGCGGCCAAACTGTGATGTTGCGTGCACCCTGGGTGGATTTCGGCGTAGCATGGGTGACAGAAGAAGGACCAAAGACATATATCATCCCCAGGGGTTATAGTGGCGATGTAAGCCACGATTCTCTTTTCGACAGTAACTCTTGACCGTTAACATTTTATACGTTGGTGTAGGTCATCGTTGGTGGGACAAGAGAAGTTAATGATTGGTTGGTACCGATCCACGATATCGAATAGACCAGCGAGGTGACTTAACAACCCCGTCAGGTATCCTATCCCTCGGCCGGAAACAACGACGGATATTCTCGAGCGTGCACTCATAATGTGCCCCGCCTTAGCCCCTCCGTCTATCACTAGTATTCGTGCTCCCACCATCGACGATCTGAGAGCGCTGATCATCGAAGAAGGATGTGGCTTCCGTCCCGCCCGTAAGAACACGGTACTTTTGGATACCAAAATGGTGGATATCCCGAGCACTGGACGCGCAGTGCCAGTCATCTCAAACTATGGGTACGACTTGCCCTTGCGTACCAGTACTTTCCTGTCCTAACGTTGATATCATATAGGCATGGTGGATATGGTTTCCAGTCGTCTTGGGCTTCAGCTGCAAGAGCGCTCAAGCTGCTCGAGGAGTCTCTCGCATCTTCTACTTGACTCCCTTTGGGTAGCGTGCAAATAAGCAGTTCGAATTATCGTGTAAGCTAGATATGTCTCTGTGCTCCTCGATATAGCATGTATACCATCCGTGCGTCGTTAGAAAAATTGTGACAACGGATTTTCCTGAACATCATGCATTCCTCTCGTCCGGGTTAACACCAAACCACCACTTCTGAAGTTCGAACCTATCCTCCCCAACCTTCTTGAAGTCCGTCCTCCCAACAAAATGCCTTTTCGCCAGCAATAGCGGCATCCAATACCGATCGGCCTCCCACATGTTATCGAAAGGGATGGGTCCGAGCGCCACCTCGGGTTCAACTGTGGCGACTGTGGGACTGGTCTGGAAATACATTTCTTGAGGATCCATATCTGGAATGGAGAACCACTGGAAGCACATTTCGTCCGTTCTGCAGTGCAGGACGTGAGCAGAAGGCTCGACAATATGAGCGTTGGGCAACGTCAGATGACGACTCGTAATCAACACTCACTCTACGAGGGTGCCATTGTATTCCTCCGCACGGTATATCTCAATCTGAAAGGCCCAGTCAGGGCCTCCCTCGGACAAGAAGACGAAGGTGCCGTAGTGCTCCAAAGGTGCATCGATGCCTGCTTCCTCCTACCATCAATATTGGTTAAGTATGTCCTTGAGGAGTGGTACCGAGTGCGCCTCAAGCGAATGATTATCTTACCTTGAGTTCGCGTTTAGCCGCGTCTATGGTAGATTCTCCTTCCTCGACCTTACCTCCGAATCCATTGTACCTGCACGAGGAGCACATATGAGTACATTCCTGAAACTATTTCTGTATACTGTCTGACGAAAAAGACCACTCGAAATGACGCACTTGTGCGCTCCGAACCCACGTTTCTTGTACCCCAACAGGAGCTAATCATTCGCAAACCAAGATGGCGGCCATCTCAAACGATGCGCTCTTCGGCAGATGCAAGGTGTGATCACCGAACTCGACTTACCTTCCCATCTTGTACAATAAACGCGTTCGTGTACAAGCGCTTGCTATTGACGGGAAGCCAAGGAGCTGAACCGCCGCTTTGTACTTTTTGGATGTGGCCTTTAATCGTGACGTCTTCCATTGCTGGTGGGAGGCTGTCGGAGGTCATTGTGGCTTGTAAATATTGACGATCTAAAGTATGAGGGTTACGGGTATAGGGTATAGAGCTAGAAAGATGAGCTTAGGGAGGAATGGTAGAACGAGGAGAAGACAGTGGTTGTGGGGCCACAAGAAGAGTTGCTGGGTGTTGCCGAGTGGACTTGCGGCTGAGGCTGAATCCGCATCCACTCCATTGCTGAGCATTTTCAGTAAAGCTTATCTACGAACTGGAAGGCTATTCAGGGTCATCTGATATGAGGTATCCAGCAAACATTCAAATGAGTGAGGCAGCAAGATAATGTAGGTATACACTCTAGAAGTTTACACGTAGTTGTGGCCCACGGCGCCACACAAACAAACAAAAGAAACAGAGCCACCGTGACTCTGTTTCGACTACCGAAGCAACAATCGGCAAGATGGTGTTAGACTTCTTACGAGTGTACGAAAAATCATGGCTTTAAACCCGAATGAAGCGATCTACACATCAACAACATCGAGCTTCAACATGGCAAACAAAAGCACCGTTGTCCGACACACAGGACAAACCGGCTTCCTCTTAACTTCCTCCACAATACACCTAAATCGTCAAAAACACATCATCAGCAACAAGAACTCTCGACCAGAAAAAGACAAGGTCAAAAGAAGATAGGACTCACCGATTACAGAAAATATGTCCACAAACAGTCGCCGTCGGTTCCTCGCACGGGTCGCTAAAACACAACCTACAATGGAACGAAGGCAAAGACGGTCCGCTTTTCCTCCTCGTATTCTTCCCCGACCCATTCAACCCCGCACTCTGAGTCTGACGCTCCGGACTGGGACCCAAGACCCGAATCTGCGATTTCGGCGAGTCCTCCAGCGGTACACCAAGATCGTCTTCATCCTCTCCATCGTCATCGTCGTCGTCAAAAAACGTAGGCAAGCGAGTGGCTGTAATAGCGCTTCGATTGGTCCCGGCCGACCCAGGACCACCATTCGCAGTGCGACTCAACATGGGAGTGACACCAGTGCCAGCTGCGCCCTTCGCGGCAGGACTCCCGTTCCTCGCTGCGTTATCGTCGTTTAACATGGCCATGGCGGCAGCAATATCGCCGCGAGTGTTCATGTTCATAGCAGCCGACATCGAAGTCATAGTAGAAGGACCGAGCCCCATGACGTCCCTCATCGGCTGCAGCGGGCTTCCGTTCAAGAGATTATGATTCGAGAGGTCTCCGGATGGGGTCTCGGCGAAGGAGTGTTTTGAGCGGGATGATGCAGGAGGGGAGGAAGGTCCGCTTGTAAGCCCGCCATGAACGTTGTTGTTGCCGTTCTGTTCGTAGGTAGGATACGAGTGCGAGTGCGCATGCATGGCAGGCGGGGTTTGCTCGATACGGTAGGGATACAGTGTCGAAGAAGGTGGAGTTTCGAAGAGTTGGGTGGGGACGCGCTTGCCGTTCGGGGTGGTGTTGCCGTTGACATTCGTATTGCTGGCGAGGTCACGCTCGGGAGTACCAGCGTTCGTGATGGTAGGATTGCTAACGCTGCGGCCACCCTGAGTAGTGCGCCTCACCCAATCCGTCACATCCACATCCGAATACTCAGACGTCGACGGAGAAGGCATCACAACACGGCCGTAGTCGTTAGACACCCCACGAATATGCCCGTTTCCGTTCCCATTCGACGTGGCGGCGACGGTAGCGAAGGTTGGCGCGGGTGTGACTGTTGTGGCGGGGCCAGCTGTCGCGTGCATGCTCGCCACATCGACGATCGTACGTTCCGACCCCAAGGCGTAGCCATAGCCAGGACCAGGCATAGCCCAGCCTCTAGGCGTGGGCAAAGTCGAAGACGGACGAGACCCGCTCCCGGCCGAGTCGCTGGCCTGGAAAATCGTCGTGGTGGGGCTGGCGCTGAAGTCGAACGTTCGGGCGAGGGAGCGGTCGTAGCGGTTTGGTGCGGCAGGAGTCGTACTCGTACCACTAGTACTGGAGCCGTGTTGGAGGCTGTTGGTGATGGTGGAGTCCGGGCGGCGATGTGATGGTCTCTCGGGCTTAGGTGGCGTGAGGTTCATGGCCGTACGTGTCGTTGTCATTGTCGTTGTCGTTGATCTCGATGGCGCCATGGGTGCCAGTGGTCGTGCAGGTGCGGGAGCAGGGGTAGGGAGGGAGGGTTCGAAGTAGGATTGTGCTGAGCCAGATCGGACCGGTTCTGGACGCGTCTAGTATGAAAGAATTCGAGCGACATAATATGTGAAGTTAGCCCACATACATTGCACACCAATAATTTAATGGAGACATACAACTGACGTGGGAACCAAAGGACGTCGCTCGGAGCCGATGGCAGAGATACCGTTTGTGACGCGGGATGGAAGAGTGGACGTTCGTGGGGTGCTTGGTTGGAGTGCTGGGTTGGCGCGAGGTGTTTGGGCACCCGGATTCTGGAAAGAGCAAATTTTAAGTCAGATATATGTTACAGATTCTGAGACAGGAACGTCATCCTAGAGTACTCACTCTCGAGCTTTCACTCGAAGTGGCGGTAGGCGTGTTCGCCTTGGGCGACATATGCTCAATGGTGGAGTGCTATCAAGTTACAATATGTTCCGTCAGTTCAAGACAAACGTCAACTGATATGAAGTTTGATTTCTGACCTCAATGACCGCAGACATGTCCTTGAACTGTCTAGAGCACCATTCGCACCGTCGGTGAACGCCAATTTCCTGCATGTGGCGTCCGAGTTCCTCTTCAGATCGGAACCGTTTGTCGCAGATAGAGCAAGTCGGCTGGACTGGGACGACCGGGTGCACCACATCAACATGATATTCCACTTCTTCTACCGATTGGAATGGTTTCTCGCAAATGGAACATGTTGGCGGATTGACCGAGTGCCTCACTCTGTTATGCTGCATAAAACAGAATTCGTCCCCGAGACCCAGTCATCAGATCTCGATGTGCCACTTCGCAACAAAGGAAAGGGTCAGAAGGAGAAGAAATCACACCTCGTCAAGGCCAGCCTGGCTTTCAAAGCCGACTTTACACTCTTCGCAGTGTGGATGTGCAGGCCACTTGAGGTAATGGTCTGGCAATTCGTCCTTGAACATCGGCATCTCGCAGCACCGGACGCGAGTATGTTCGACTTGCATATGCTTTTAGATCCAAGTCGCGAGATGGAAAGAAGAAACGAAGAAGAAAAGGACAAATGGTGTTAGCTTTTGCGCGTTCATCGATAGCGGAACTTGGAAAGTGTGGCACGACCTTCGCCCTGAACTCGCCGACTGTAGGAGGGCGTAGGTACGGAGTCCATCATGGCATGTACTTACGGTGGCGAGAGCGGTACTGTCCCTCATACCTGCGTTGCACCGTCGGCACTTGGGATGTATATTCTCTTTTGAGGCTCGGAAGTGTGCTTCAAGTGCGCTCGGGGAATAAAATTTGCGATCGCATTTATCGCAGTGGACAACGTGTTTCGCATCCATGTGCTGGTGCCACAACGACCGATTGAAGAACGTAATAAGGAACGAAAAAGGGATCAGCGGTGTGGCGAGAACAGTAAGATAAGTTGCGCACTTGTTGACGAGAGAGTTTGTCTTTGAAAACGCGTTGACAAGGATCGCAGAGCGGATGTTGGGGTCGACTTTCGTGGGCGTGGCCCATAAGCGCCTCGAGCGAGTCGAAGAAGATCGTGTTTCGTTGACCGCATAGTTCAGATGGACACACAGGCATCTTTTGTATGATCGATGGAGGAGACTAAAGAGAGGAAGTTTAGATCACAGCTCAACCTTAGTGAAGGGCGGTCTCTGAGGTGCTGAGGGGAGGCGGATGGTAGGGTTCGGCATATATATGATTCCAAGTGCGGTGAACAATACGCCTCGTGAGTGCCATGAGTATCATCATGGGAACTAGGCGGTCAATTAGGGTGGCGTCGTGGAGACGGCCCATCGTGTATACTTTTATAATATCTGTCGTTACTTATAGGGAAGCCCAACACGACGACAAGCTTGAGCTTGTTCTCGACCAGGAGAGGATAAAGGTGATACCTCCGCCGGTCGGAAAAGGCGAGTTCCCAAGCCAGCCAGGTTTGACCAAAATAAATGGTTGTTGATCCGAGTTTGCCATAATGCTTAACATTTGGAGACGGATTGAGCCCAAAATGCCTCCGGAAACCGCTGACATGCACAGGATCCATGCCGAAAAGAGCGCCGGCGCCCCGCTGTGGTGAAGTGGTGTCATCTGGATGTGGTACGACTTGTTAATCGACTCTTTCTTGTGCTTTCCTCCTCCACCGTTCTTTCTTTCCGACCACGACCACCTCTCCCTACCTAGCCGACGACATCATGTCCTCAGCGTCTTCCGCCGTCGGCTCTATCGACGACTTCATGGCCCAGCACCAGCAGAAAGAGCGAGAAGAGTCCTCTGCGACTCAGTCTATGGACGGTAACACCCTCGACCCGTCTAACCCTCTCAACTTCCTCCTCCAATCCGTCGGCACATTTTCCAACACCGATTCTTCGTCTTCGTCGTTTGGTGGAGAAGACTCATCATCATCGTTTGGCGGTGCGAGCCCCGCACCCGACTGGTCACAGTTCACGAACCTATGGCCACAAGATCCCTCAGCTCCCTCTGCCGGCGTCTCAGACTTAAAGTTCGACCCTTCATCTATGGACTTTGACTTCTCTCTGCCCATGGAACTTGACTTCAACTCCTCCATGGCCATCGAGCCTTCTGCGCTTCACTTCGACAGCACAAAGATATTACCGTCAAGTGACTCTACCACGAATATCTTCGCCCCACATCATATCCCACGGCACTCGCAGTCTTCGGGCGACGATCTTAGCAGCATGTCCTTCTCCGAAGATATGATGTTCACGCAGTTTATGGACGGAATGCTTCACCCGTCATCTGCTAACACACATCCACTCGGAGAGAGGCGCATGAGCATCACTTCCTCCTCATCGAGCTCCGGCGCTTCGCTCTCTCCCATATTGGACCACAGCGCTGCCGTCCAGCCGAGCTCCAATACCAATAACTCAATGGAGGACTCTCCACCGCAAAACGACCCCTTCAGTGAAGTGTTCGATGCGATGATGAATTCGGCAGTGGGCGAGGAACAGTTGGAGCAGAAAGTCGATGAGACACTCGACCCTGCGGACGAGTTGGCGCAGAGAGTTAGGCAGACCGCTGGTGTTACGCTTGCTGTCCCTGTCGCAGGACAGGGCCAATCCGTCCAGTCGTTCGGAGGTATGTTTTGATTTATGCACAGTATCTCAGCCTCTACTCCTTGGCCTCTTACAATACTCGACCTTCCTCAACCAAACTAACTTATAAACACCAAACCCGTAGGCTCGACTTCCCCCAAACTCCCCATCCCTCGAAACCCCTCAAACACAACCCTTCAAACAATCTACCCCCAACCTCACACCTCCACCTCCAACACATCCTCCATCAGCGGCTCCCCGTCCCCACCCACCTCAGCCAACACCTCTCCTTCCGCGGCCTCCTCACCAAACTCAACGTCAAACCTCGTCTCTCTTCCCCCTTCTGATCCCTCTTCCGCTAACGCCGCTCTCGCCCCCACGTCTACTTTGTCCGGTACAAGCGCTACTGCCAGTGCGGCAGCACCGGGCACGACGACGGTCATAGGTGGCCGTCCGAAAACGAGCCATACGACCATCGAACGTCGATATCGCACTAATCTTAATGCACGGATTATATCGTTGAAGAACGCCGTGCCCGCGCTGAGGGTTTTGGATCAGAAGAAGAATAAGGACAAGTCCTCGGATCTTATTGAGGATGGGCTGGAGGGTGGCGAGGAGGTGAAGGAGAAGGATGTGGTGGATGAGAGGGGCATCGTGGATGGGGTGAAGGTCGCGAGGAAGATCAGTAAGGCGAATGTGCTGGGGAAGGCGACGGAGTATATTCGGTGCGTCTTTTCCTCCCATCTTCCGGCAAAATAATTGGGAGCTGTCTATCCTGTATACTGACTTGTTGTCTGCTCGTTCATTCGATGTAGTGTCCTGAAACGTCGTGAGCAACGTCTCAAGCATGAACAACAAGGTCTCCGCTCGCTCATCTCCGGACTCGTCGGAGGTCCCGCTCTCCTGAAGGAATGGGAGCGCGAATGGACCGCCAAGTTCGGCGGACCAGAGCGTGACGAGCTCGAATACGAGAACGCGAACGGACGTGGAGGTATGAGTGACGATGACGATGATGGGGACAGCGATGATGGGGATGAAGAAGAGAAAACGAGGGCGAGGAAGAAGCCGAAGGTCGTGAAAGAGAAGAAGGAGACGGTGAAGAAGGAGAAAGTCGGGAAGGATAAGGTGCCGACGACGTCGACAGCGACGGGAACGGGACAGCAGCCGGAGAAGAGGAAGAGGGGAAGGCCGAAGAAGAATGTGGCGCCGGCGGTGGTGCAGAGCGAGTCGTTTGTGGCTCAGCAGCAACAGCAGATCGTGTTTGAAAGTGGGACGGGGAACGTCGTCGTACCGCCTCAGGCTCAAGCACCGCAACAACCTCAGCAACCACAATACCTCCTCGCCGTCTTTGCGTTCTTCTCGTTCTTCAGCTCTCCCCTCACTTCGTCGACTTCATCCGCCTCGACACATCACACGCATTCTGGCGTAGTTCTCAACTCGCCGTTCCCTGCGTCAGCCGTGCACATCCCTTCTCCGTCCTCGTCGACAGGGTCAGGCCTTGGATTCGGATGGCAAGAATTCGTCCAGGTCTTCCATCTCCTCGTCTCCGCCCTCGTATTTTTCTCCATCGTCTTGCCCTGGCTGCCCAGTTCAATCCGGCGCTTCACCAAGTTCTTACCATTCGGACCCGTTGTCCATCAAGGCAATGCGGACGCCACACTTCCCACGCCACCTCCCTCTCCCACTTCCTCCACCTCCTCCGTATCGGAGTCAGAGTCGACGTCCGAAGCAGTCAAACGTCCCCGCTCCCTCTCGTTCCCTGGTACCGATACTTTCAACCGCCTCGCGTTCATCGACGCTCTCTCGCTCTCTTCTCGCGCTTCTCCTTCAGCAGCCGACGAAGCTTCCCGTCTGCGCGAGGCTCTTGGTATCAAGGAGGGCCTTCTGGGCTTGGTGGGCGCGTTGGGTGGGGGTGCGATGGGAAAGATTGTTCGTGCGGTGAGTGGTGGGGGTTTGAGTGGTAAAGCGGGTAGGGGGAGGGGCATCGAGAGGATGCAGTTGGAGCAGAGGGCGTGGGTTCGGTTGGGCGAGTTGGTCGCGCTGGAACGTGAGTTCACTTCGTCTTCACTTTCCTTCGTCCATTTCTGATACTGATAATTGGTGACTTAATGTCGAAATAGCCAATACCCCATTCGCCACCCGTCTCCTCATCTACTACGGCATGACGACCCATACCTCCGCCTTCGCCGCTTCGACAAACGATCTCATTACACTCGCCCTCATCGCCTACCCACTCTCTAAATCTCGAGCTCACAGTCTGTGGAACAAGGCCGCTTCCCGTGCGAAGGCGAAGAATATCGTCGCTACTGCTGCTACCAGCATCAGAGCTTATGAGAGGTTGGTCGTGGAGAATATGGGGATCGAGGAGGCGAGGGAGAGGATCGCGGGATTGAGAGTCGGACCTGCGACCTCGAACTCGAGTGTGTCGAAGGATATGAACAAGGATAGGATGAAGTTGGACAACGAGTTCGACGCTGTTCTCGGTGCGGACGGCGATGCTGGTGGTGATGGAGATGCGGATGGGAACAAGGGACAAGAGTGCCGGTTCCCCGATTTCGAGAAATATTCGCCGTTATCCGTCCTCGCTACGCTTCTCATCCGGGAACGCGTTCGCAAACACGCAGCGCTCCTGTTCGTGCGTTCCGTCCCTGGTGCGCTCGAGCAGCAGAGACAGCAGGAGGATGCGCCGGTGATTTATGATCCGAAGAAGGAGATTCTGGAGGAGAGGGAGTTGAAGGAGTGTGTGGAGGCTGGGGTCGAGCTTGGAGGGAGGGCGAAGGAGCTTTGTGTCTTGCTTGAGAAGATCGGGCAGCCGAGTTTCGTGAGGCATGAGGAGGTTTTGACGTTTGACTCAAGCTCCTCGTCGTCTTCGTCTGGTAATGGGCCATTGGATGTCGACGTCGAAGAAGCGGAACTCAGGACGCTCATGAGCGCCATCGTTCTCTATCGCCGTTTATTCCCCTCCGCCGTCCTTTCGTCGTCATCTGCCGGGCACGGTGTCAGCGTAATGCTTTCGCCACCGCCTTCGCCATCGAAGAGGAACGCAAAGTTGAGGACTGCGCTGAGAGTGGCGTTGGACTCGGAGGTGTTTGATGGGATCGGGTTGGCTGGTGTCGAGGGTGCAGCAGCGAGTATGAGGTGTGGGTCGGCGAGTGCTGGCGGAGGTGCGGCACTTGGGCTGAGTGGTGAGTTGGATGAGGCGAGAGATAGAGTTGTGGATATGCTTATGGAGGTACAGGGGCAGGGGAGGAGTGGCTCGAGGAGGGTATGAGGTCTTATTCACCCTGACTGTGTGGCGTGTGGCAGGGCTAGAAGCTCACAAACAATGTGGACCTTGGTAAATATATTTCTTGTCATGCGTGTTGCTGTCACCTAATTGTTTAAATACGGTATACCGGCTGTCATACCATATAGTTTTCCTTCTTGATTTCGCTCTTATGTTCTGGTTTTCGGCTCTTGAGCTCGCTGTCCGTGTCCGTTGAGTTTCCTCTCTGATTCCCGTATCTATGAATGTATTTACTTGGACTTTATGGTACAGACAATAGGAAGCTCACAATCTCTGCTTGCTCCGTGTTGGTCGCATATCTAAATTATGGGAGATGGTCATGGACGAGGATAGAAAAATAGATGATGTCGAAGGTTCTTGGGCTCACACATTCTCTCCGTTGGATCTCGAGGCTGCCTGAGTAAGAAGGACGTTCAGCTACCTCTTCGGCTTCTTAGTATTTTGCCAGATAAGTGGATGTTTTCCCCGTATTCCCAACTCTTCTACCTAACTACTTGACCCAAACTTGACCGCTGCCTTTACGCCGCTCACTTAGGAGTAGCGCTACGGGTATTCGGGGTCTCCTGCTCACCATTGGTTCAATGGGTGTATGTAGCCGATATGCAGGTAGTGTGACCGTATATGCGGCTTTCAACCTACACGACGGTCATCGACTCACTCCTCTTCGTCTAGTTGGTAGTAAAAAATCTTGTGGCGTGATTTTCCGTCTAATTTTCCCAGCGTTCTCACTGAACACAAGGAGGGAACGTCGATGACGACTCGTGGAGTATTCAATATTCAATGAGGGATTCGCAGGACTCACCGGTAGGAGGATCGTAATACAATTGACTTCAAGTCTGAACCGGACAGCCGCAGTGTGGCGTAGTTTAGTGAACGTGAAGGTTTAACGTTCGACTATAGTAGTTCGTGTAGATTATCGTTCAAGTTAGGGTAAGCCTGAGGGTACAATTCAAGTTGCACATCTTCTGCTCCGGGGAATGCGTCAGTGCATTATTCTTTCAACAGACATTTCGTATCGGTGGAACGTGGATCGGGTCCTACATTCTTTGTGGCTACAGTATTTACGGCGCTCACATAATATTTTGTTTCATGGCGGGGAACCTAGGAACGCCACATTCCGCCATTCCGTTGATCGCACGCTTCTAAGTATACCATTTCCTGAGCTCGAGGTTTTGAGTCCTCTCGGACGCGTCGTACTCCTCGGCATCCCTCTGGTCTGCATACCAACGCTCTTTGTTCGAAATCGAGTCCTGCGGGTGCAAGAATGCGGTGCCACACACCCTTTTCGAGGCGAGCGCCTCAGTAAGTCATCATCTTACACAACCTCCTGGACCGCCGTGCTTACAGCTTACACCGTGAATCACAGCAGCCATCCATCATCTGTGTCAGTGATATAACGTTCTGGACGCTCTGGCCATAACAAATCCTTCCCCGTTCGACTTTCCCTGGATGAACTGTGTCCCAGCAATCAGAATGCTCGAAAAGTGGTGCCACCCTTCTGAGTAGTACCGGAAGGACACCATGAAAGGAGTTTGGAGTTGTGCGCGCATTGGGTAAGATGTCCGAGGCTTCACTCAGCAGGTGTAAGCTCTTACTGCACCGCTTCGTCAGAGCGGGAGGGCTTATCGTACGATAGGATAGGAGATGCAATAAATGGCGATTCGTATTGGTCTTTGTATGAGGAAGATGCGTACTATACATACTATGGACACGTTCTTGCCATGGTGCACTACCCCAAATGAGTAACGTCAATGATTGTCCTCCCAAAAAGAGTACGGTGGGTACAGGCACGGTCCTGTCCTTCCGGAAGACAAGGAAGGTGTCAAACAGCTGTGCTTAGGCGCCTACGTTAGGGTCGTTGTATGGAAATCGGGACGACCATGCAAGCAGCTAAGAGAAACAAGCGATGATAGTCGAGCTCAGTCCAACATGCGTTCGTCCTAGAGCGAGAGCAACGAGACCGAGACCGAGACGAGACACGTATCACATCCGGCCAAGCGTATCAGGCATCAGTCCCAGCCTTGGATAGGACCTCAGACACGGCGGATAAGTACGAGAGCGAGCGCCATGCGCGTCTACGACATTGACGGAGTATAGGATGGAGATGTGACACATCGCCAAACGGAGGCAGGGTTTAGATTTGGCTCGTCGTTGATTGTGAAAGCGGGGAGGACAGAGGTCGATGGACAGTATGCAGCAATCCTCGAGAAAGGAAGACAGGCGGATGTCCTTCGCAGTCGTAACATCAGGATGTCTGTGGCGATGAAAGGAGAGGAAACGCGAGGCGTATGAGGTCGAGACGAGGTTCGACAGAGCCTGGCTTCGAGAACATAATCCAGGTCCTGAGGGTCGACACTCCAGGTTATGGGCCGTACTCTTCGTCGGGAGGAAGGATGTGAGACAAAGCACAATAGACAAGGTGAGGCAAGTCCACGCTCTAGATGAAAATTTCGCCGTCGTCAGCCCGAAGATACAGAGAAAAAAAGAAAGGGCGACCCGCACAAATAACCTGCGGCTTATATATCCCTGCGGCTCTCCACTGCATTGCATTACCACCTTGCATTGCCTTGCCTTCCACTACCTTGCGTCGTACGGCCTCGTACGGCCAATCGCCATCGGCGGATGGTCTGCGGCCGGGTGGACGAGTACCCCGGAAGGCCCCTCTGGAGATTATGATTGGTGTGGCACTCCCAGCGTAGGCGTATCGCGAGCATGCACTGGTCTCAAGTTTCACGAGGAATAAGGAGGAATGAAAGGGGAAGGGGGGAGTGGCTGTGCAGGTTTGCGATTGGCGGAAGGGAGGGGACGGGGAGGGGAGGGTTACGTTCCGTTTTTGGTAAGTACTGGAACAGTGAAATGCTCGAATGGGATCCTGGGGGCTTGTGTGTCTCTCTCTGATCGACACGGGTTTGGAAGTGAAACCACGAGTGAGTACATATTCTGAGACCGAGTGAACCAAGCATGGATTCGAATGGAAGAATGAAACGTGGGGTCGGTGGGGTTGTGTCTGACTCACCGTGTGTTTTGAATTGTCTCCGTTGGAGCGTTCTAGTGTGGTGTTGCAGGAAGAAATGAGAACTAGACACGGAGATTACTGTTTAGTGAGGGAGACTGCAGACTGCGTACGGCGTATGAAAGGGAGCAAGCTTAATGAGCATGGCGCATGGCGGATTCGCGGATCTGCGTGGCTTTGAGGAAGCGAGGCCGGTGTCTAATGTTTGATATTTGAGTTTGAGTACGGACGTAAAGACGAATTTCGGATGTGTGCCGTCGTTGAATTGTCGCGTTGACGGGATCTGCTAAACGTCAAGGAAGGTCAAAGCGTCGTGGCATGACGATGCGCTACTCGCTATACCACATCCAGAGTGGTCGCGGTAGGTACTTACAGTGACATCTGTATCCGGCGACGATCGACTTGTCGAGAAATGGAAGGTGTCTGAGGGTAGGTCATACATACTACGGCAGGTCAGCGTCAGTGAAACGGATAAACAAGAGCCCCTGTCTCTGAATTATGTCTCAGTTATCAAACAAATAATTCAGTGGGCGCAAAGACTGGAGTAACGTACTAGTACATATACCAAACCGAGTAAAGGCCATAAAATCCCTGCATATTACGGACGCACTGGCGTTGGGAGCAAGTCGTGGTGGCGTAGGCACGACGTACATATCGATAAATCTGCGAACACGTAACTATAATCTTGAACGAGAGAGGAAACGCGAGCATGCGGGAATGGCGCAGCGTTCTGAATCTTCACGTCGTTCCTGGGATAAACAAGTTCTTAGCGAAAAGAAGACTGACCACGACCTGACATGATTCGCGCTAGAATAGGAAGATGGGAAGGTTGGACGTTAGCTAACGAGGACCGGGTCCGATGATTTGTAGAACGGCGTACCGATGTCTGACCTTGAGGCTTGACGAGGCAGATAGACACGGTTGTCGGACGGATTTTCCGTTATGTTTACGACACCAGTCATGTCTGAACTTCTCCCTGGTCCCGTACGGCAGATACAGAAGAGTCCCAGCCAGGATCACATAAGTAAGTAAAACAAGAAAACTTTCCCAAATGAAAATGAAGCGTCCGAGAAACCAAACCAAACATTCAAAGCGTTACATGTGGGAGGAGAGAGGATAGACGCCCGGAAGGCACCGCAAATTGACGGAGAGCACGGCCGCAGGGGATAGTGTATGAATCCGACTGGATGATTTCGCCGTTGTGTTGGTCGTGTCGAGGACAGCATCAATGGAGGTGTCTGGGGCTAAAGTTTACTACCGTTATGATACGCCCGCAGAAGACTGATTAGTGAAAGGATTGCTACATGGGGAGGTGATTGATTGCGACCAGTGTAAGCTCGTTTGTGGAGAACTCAGCGAGTTTACAAGGTTGCAAATGCTCTGTGATTGAACGATATTTCGTATGTGTGCGAATCCTATATTTGGTGAATATTGTGAAGAGAACCTACATTCTCGGGAGAGTAGAGTCACAGTTTGAGACAAGAGTGAGCAAATCGATTGCGTCAGTCAGATTGCAGCGGGTCTGCGGGCTATATCTAGGAAGCAAGAGAAATACCAGAAGGACGAATGGAATGATACGTCGAGACTCTTGTGCGCGCTGGGCCTTAGACAAGCAGGATTGGTTGTGGTGTGATGGGTAGATGTGAGCGGCTGTATGGGGTAAGGAATGTAGAAGAAGGGAATGCTGTGGGCCGTAAGTCTAAGTATCACATTTTCCACGCCGTTGGAGCAGAAACAATTCAAGACGCGAGTATTCGTACTGCTTGAACACTGCAGAAGAGGCAGGAGAAAGAAAAGTGAATTGAAGCGGGCAACGGAAGCGCGGTCGGAGGCGATTATGAAAAGCAGGCGCGGGGACTTCCCGGGGTCCCGTCCGAGCCTGGGTTTGAGCCGAGAGGGCGGCTGAGGTTGAGTACTCGTTGATAAATACAGTCGGCCCACTTTTTCGCAGCGTTTGGATTCGCTCAAACGGCCGCACCCCCAACTTATCCTCCCCACACTCGCCAAGGCGGCCTTGTACCCAGCTCAGACACCGTTCGAGCTCTGGTCAGTGTCTTCAGCCCCCCCTTCGTTGTTCGGCGCGGTCTCTGATCTTGTTTATCCTTATTGTCTTTGCCAGACGTACTAGTCCGGCCAGTTCCTTCCCAAGAGACATCGGTCTCTCTTTCCCTTCGTCGTCGTCGTCGTCGTCCCCCACAAAGCCGCGTTCAACATGCGCGCGTTAACAGCACCGCTCTCTCTGCATGCTGCATCATCACCTATAGAGACCATCGTATTCTTCTTCGCAGTCGCGACTCTCGCATACTTCCATGTCCTTTCCGCAATCAAGCACTCTCAATTCCTGGCTCCGACAGCACCGTCAACATTACGACCTGCACTTGCTCTTCTTCGTGACAAAGAATGGGTTGGTGTGAACGAGAACAACTGGTTTGAACGGGAGGGTGTGACGGCTCTCGAGATTCAACAGCTCATGCTTTCCATGGAGCCCAAAGTTGCGCGGAAGGTATGCATCTATTTACGGACTCGTCCTATTCACACTTTTCACACTCCTATCAGCTTTCGGATTCTCTCCTTCAAGACTCGTTCGAAAACGCGACCGGCTTCTTCACACACCAGTTCCTCGCCGCCTCCGGTAAATCTTACTCCGACATCTGCTTCCAACCTGTCTCCGAAGAGCCATCATGCTTCGTTGCATCTCCTTCGGACTCGAACGTCATTACTCTTTCCTTCACTCCCGGTACTACGGACGACTTCGTTACTGCTCTCAAGAGGCCAGGACTCAAGGATGGTGACATGAACTTCGTGCTCGAGACTCCGGAGTCACAGAGCCTTAGCGATATGAAGAACGGGAGGTGGGTCGCCTACGCTGCCTACACTATGGTTTCGCGTTTCTGGGATTTGGCCAAGGTTCGTATGCTCGTCGTATACGTTAATGCGTCGGATTCACTGACATTGGAACGAGCAGAAGGCAGACTCGCTTGATATTCTCCTCGTCCTTGCGGGTTACATTCTCATGCACGCGACTTTCATCAAACTCTTCCTCGCCTCGCGTTCTCTCGGCTCCAACTTCTGGCTCATGACCGGCATTCTCTTCTCCTCCGTCCTCTCCTTCATCCTCGCTCTTCCCATCGCCTCCTACTTCTCTATCCCTCTCGAGCCCGTCTCACTCATCGAAGCTCTCCCCTTCCTCGTATGCACCGTCGGATTCGACAAACCCCTCCGCCTCGCTCGCTCCGTCTTCACCCACCCTCATCTCTTCCAGCCCGCAGTCACGACGGGAAAGCACCGTGGCGAGATGAAACCCGCGCCGGAGCTGATCATGGAGGCCCTGAACACCAATGGAGCAGGAAACGCTATTGTCCGGGACTATGCGCTCGAGATTGCGGCGTTGATGATCGGAGCTTACAGTAAAGTCGGAGGGCTGACTGAGTTCTGTGCTTTGGCGGCGCTGTTGCTCACTGTGGACGCTGTGTCAATGGCGACGTTTTACGTCGCTGTGCTTAGTGTGATGATTGAGGTGAGCGTCTGTTCTTCTCATGTTTCACTTGGTGCCTGCATTTGTCGGCGTTCGAGTAAGCACTTTTGGCTGCACCACCAAGCGCGCCTTGGGCTTACTTGCACTTCCGAGCTCTCGGAGCTTACGCTTTTGGGGCTATGACGGAGCGCGTCGCACTGCCACGTGGCTCGACGCGACGCGTCGCGGTTCCGTTGTACGATCGTCCGTCGTTCCTGCTCGAAGCGCCCATGTTCGAATCGCGAATAATCGTAGCTTCTCTTTCCTTTTGTGGCGTCGTGAAAGAACGCCAACGCCCCGTCTTCGACGTGTCTTGGCTCCTTTTGGAAAGCATCTTTCCCGGGCCTCAGCAAATGCCACTTTGTTCAACTGTTTCCCTCCTCGGCTCTACATATGCATTATGGCTTCGTAGACTAGTTGCTAAATTTCTTTCTTTCCTGTCATGTATAGGTTCGTCGTATCAAGATGTTCCGCACGCTGTCACAGTCGAAGGACACCACGTCGTCGTTGGCCGCCTCAAAGCTCGTCAATGGAGAACTTCCCCTCCAGCGGACTTCGCTCGCAGAGCTTGTGCTCGGTGTCAAGGGCTCCTTCTTGAGACAGCCCCAAGGCCTTGTTGCGAAGAATTCCGGAAGCGAGAAGGATGACAAGAAGGCTCAGGACAATAAGGAGGAATCTCCTGTCGCGAGGATGAAGCTATTCTTGGTCAGTCCGTTTCGCTTGATTTTATGGATGTCATACAGATGCTAAGATCATGCTATCTAGATCGTTTCGTTCTTGACGTTGCACATCTTGAACATGGTCACTACTCTGAACCCTGCCCAACCTCCATTCTCCACCGAGCTCGCTCCCGGGGTTTCTCGCAAGGTCGACATCACCTCTCCCGCAATCTCCTCCGTTCTCGCTTCGCTCGCCGATGACCACTCCAAGGCCGCCACCGAGACCGAACTTCTCGTCCGAGTCGCTCCTCCCGTCCACATCCGCATGGTCCCACTCGTCTCTGCAACTGCTTCTCACCCATCGCACAAGTCTTCTCCGAGCGGCAGCACCGGCCACCATGAGGCCGATTCCGACGACGTCCTCGAGTCGTTCATGTCTTCGTGGACGAGATTAGTCGGAGACCCCGTCATGTCGAAATGGATCGTCCTCGTCCTCGGCGTGAGCGTAGCCCTGAACGGTTACCTCCTGAAAGGCATCGCCACCGGAACCGGATCTGCACGCAGCGTCACACCACCACAAAGTGTCCGCTTCACTACCACTCCCTCCGTCTCGTCCGGCCCCTCACAACCCAAAGGCCGCGACCTCGTAGCTGTCTCTGCCGTTCCGTCTTCGGCGACGGTCGACCTTGCGGCTTTGAAGGGTGCGGAGGAAGCAAAGACGAGGGCGGAGAGGGAGACGGCGAAGGAGATGGGTGTGGTCATGGGTATGCCGACGCCTCCGGCTGAGAAGGAGGGATCGCCACTCGTTCAGCAGAAGCCGCTTCCGCGCAAGGCGTCCGTCACTGGCATCTCTTCCATGCTCGAGTCTGTCGATCAGAAGCTTCAGCTCCAGGTGGCGCAGAAGCAGGTCAAGGGCGAGTCTTCGGACGAGGAGGAGAAGGCGGCTAAGCCTGCGGCAGAGGGACAGGCGAAGGAAACTAGGAGTTTGGAGGAGTGTATTGAGATCTATGAGAATGGACCGAGGCCGTTGTCGATTAGTCTGGCGCTGTTGAACGACGAGGAGGTCATCATGCTTGCGCAGGCTGGGAAGATTCAGGCGTATGCTTTGGAGAAGGTTCTTGGTGATCTTGAGAGGGCGGTTTTGATCCGGAGGGCTTTGATTTGTGCGTTTTTCTCTTCTCCTTAACTCCTGCTCCTTGGCCTTTTTCTGATCGCTTTTCTTGGTTCATACAGCGCGTGCGTCCAGGACCAGGACCCTTGAGGACTCGGATATCCCCATGTCGCACTACGACTACTCTAAGGTCATGGGTGCATGTTGCGAAAACGTCGTCGGCTACATTCCTCTCCCTCTCGGTATCGCTGGTCCCCTCAAAGTCGACGGCGAGCTCTACCCTATCCCCATGGCCACCGCTGAAGGTACTCTCGTCGCCTCCTGCTCTCGTGGCTGCAAGGCCCTCAACGCTGGCGGAGGTGTCACCACCGTCATCATCAACGACGGCATGACCCGTGGCCCAGCCATCGAATTCCCCAACATCACCGTCGCCGCCGCTTGTAAGGCCTGGATCGACTCTCCCGAGGGTGCAGCCATCCTGAAGGAGGCGTTCGAGTCGACTTCGAGGTTTGCCAGGCTCCAGAAACTGAAGGTCACGATGGCGGGCAGGACGATGTTCGTGAGGTTCGCGACGACGACCGGTGACGCTATGGGTATGAACATGATCTCGAAGGGTACGGAGAAGGCACTCGACGTGATGTCGAAGTATTTCCCGGAGATGGTCGTCCTTGCGCTTTCGGGCAACTACTGCACTGACAAGAAGCCCGCGGCGATCAACTGGATCGAGGGCAGGGGCAAGAGCGTGGTTGCGGAGGCGGTTATCCCTGGGAAGGTCGTCAAGGCCGTTTTGAAGACGACGGTGGATGCACTTTGCAATTTGAACACGAAGAAGAACCTCATTGGGAGCGCGATGGCTGGTTCGATTGGAGGGTTCAATGCGCACGCTGCGAATATTTTGACGGCGGTGTTCCTTGCTACTGGTCAGGACCCTGCGCAGAACGTCGAGTCGTCAAACTGTATGACTCTCATGGAGCCGTGAGTACCCCCCCTCGCCTTTTAGCCTGCTCTTGGGTCGTGTTTTGACGCTCTTGGGCTATCCAGATACAACGATGGCGAAGATCTCCTGATGACGATTACCATGCCCTCCATCGAAGTCGGAACCGTCGGCGGTGGTACCGTCCTCACTCCCCAACAAGGCGTCCTGGACATCCTCGGCGTCAGAGGCGCACACCCTACCAACCCAGGCGCAAACGCTCAACAACTCGCTCGCATCATCGCCGCCGCCGTCATGGCCGGTGAACTCTCCCTCATGTCAGCCCTCGCCGCCGGTCACCTCATCCGCGCACACATGGCACACAACAGGTCACAGCTCAACACGCCTTCCGCATCTGCACCGATCACGCCTGGTGTGGCTACGCCACCGAGTGGACTCATGTGGGCGCCGCAGACACATGCGAATAATGTGACGCGGGCGACGGTCGGGGGGACGGCGACGCAGTCGACGATTTCGTTGGCTGGGTATTCGATTGATGCTAAGCCTTGAGTACTTTCGGTCGGGCTTTTGTTTGTTATTGGATGGATTCTCCTCGTCGTTGCATGCTTACTCACGCTCACGCTCACCCTTCGCCGTTCACCCTTGACCTCTTATATACATCATGATTTTTTGCATACATACACTGGCACTGGCACAAACACATCGCATTCCACCCATCCTGCCTGCTTTCGCTTTTGTTTTTCGTTCATCCTTACTTCTTTTCCTTGTTTTATTTGTGCTCTTTCTTTCTTTCTTTATTGTTTTTGCTCATGTGACTACATAGCTCCGTTATCTTTAATCACAGAGATACCTGCGGCTGCTTTGGACGACTCCAGTACCGATGCTGAAGGATTCTATAAGATTATTATATATGAAATGATATACAGCACATCTGCTCGTGTGTATACGCTGGGTGTTGTAATGGTGTAGAGGGAGAGTGAGGTTACGATCCTGCTCTCTTTTCGTTCGCAACCACATACTTCTGGCAGTCTCGAGTATTTTGTATGTTTTGATTGACCGTCCAGCGTCCATCTACATACCTGTTGTTCTGCTTCTAGATTGCGCACCTCTGATATAGAGTAAAAGACGGCACCATCAACGACGGGTCGGTTTGTGCCACAATACTAGAATGCCGTTTAAACTCCGAATGGCGTACGACAGGGTGGTTTCGCAACCCACTTCCTGCACTCACTGCAGCGATATATATGATCATACAACTCTCGTTGCCCCAAAGAAATCTATTAGCGTAGACAGCCCTCCGCCGGTCTACGATCGTGATACAGAAACACGCAGGCAAAGATGCTTGCACACTACATACAATGCCGCGTGCTATTATAATAAGCATAGTAAGCATGGTTCACTCTATGTACTTGAAGCTCGAGCCAAGTCAAGATGGAGTAGGATAGAACTCTGAAGCCCTAAGGTATCGGTATCGCGTTCTCCTGAACGCCACACATCCCTTCCTCTAAATTAATTCAGAATCGTTCCACTACACATCGCAGGACCAAAACCCACCCCAACGCCTAGATAACATATCTACGCATTCGACCATGGCCTTCTCGCCCCCCATCTACCCACAATCAAACTAAAATTAACCTAGACACACATCGTCGTCCGCCCCTCGCCCTTAAACCGCGCCCGAACCAACCGCACACTCCGCCTCCCAATCCCTGGGCGCCAGCTCATCGACCCTCTCCCTGAACGCATTCAACGTACAGAACTCAGGCGAGCCTGCCAGGTGTTTGTCATCGTCGGCGCACATCGGCAGGATCAGGTTTCGGTTCTGATAGCGCGCGCGTACGACTGTTCCGGTGTAGGTAGAGGTACCGGTATGTGAGCGCAGACGCAGGAAAATGTGTGGCGTGGCGTGCAGATCCAGGATCAAGAGAGAGAGAGAGAGATGATTTCGATTAGAAAGTGGGATAGAAAGAGGATATGAATGACAAAGGATTTGAAAGAAAATAAACGCACAATACTCCCCCTGCCCCCTCTTCTCTCTATCCGCCCCCAACCTCCTCCCAAACCTCGCACTACCCAACACACTCTGCAGCACCCCCTGATTTTGCGGCGGTTGCATCGGGTCTACGTGATCCTCTTCGTGGTCTACTAAAATCGATGTTCCGTTATGCGGCGTTGCGTCGGGGTGGAGGGACGTTGAGGTGGTAGTGGTGGGGTGAGGGACGGACATGGAGGAAGGATCGAAGTCGGGATTGCGGCGGAAGAGCTCGAATGTGAGAGAGGCTGTGAATGCGGGCCACCTGTATGGTACATACAAGGTCCCGTCAATGTGAATCAATAGACAGACAGTTACTACCCTTTCGAGACCGTATCGAACTTCTACACGGATGAGATTGGGCGGATAGTAACTCACCGATCATCAAAAACGTCCAAAGTATTCAACAATCCCGCTAAGGCCGTATCATGCGTACTATGCACCAATATCCTCGGCTCGCCCTGACCCTGACCTTTGCCTCCGTTATCCGAGTTCGACGCAGAAGCAGACGAGAACAAAGACGCCGACGAGGATGAGGACGTGGGCGAGGCGTACATAGCTTCGAGCTCACGATCCCGCACAGTCGGGTCTTCCTGTGTCTTAAGGTGGAACCTGGACGATAAGTCTGCGAGGAGTCTACCCATGCCTAGTCGACGGACTTCTTCGGTTTTGTCTGGTGCGTGCGTGTAGAATAAGTCGTTGAAGCCAAGTGATGGGAAGGGAGGGGTAGGAAGAGGGTAGATTAGGTTAGGTGTAAGCGATGATGGTCAAACGTCGAGAAGTGAACTGGGCGCTCTCACACCCTATAGCGTGCACATCGAAGAAGGGGAAAGAAAGAGCGAACGGGAGGTATCGTCAGTAATGCTCAAAATGTGTCTTACAGGCCGATAGATAAACAGAGACAGACCTGCGAACCATTCATTCACGACGGCCTTCTCCTATCGTTCATTCGTTGGAATTTGCCCGGGACAAGACGCATCATAGATCAGGAACGTTGGGAGTGCGGATAGACGGTTGTGGGTGTTAGCGAATAGGGATTAACATAACAAGGAAAAATAATACTCGCAATCGGCTCCATGACCGCTTTCTCCTCGAACTCAGGCGGGACTTTGATTCCGTGCGCCATCGACGCTCGAATCTATGCGTCGCATCCGTAGGTCAGTCGGTGGGTATTGATGAAGATGTACAGAGGCGATGTAGGGAGACAGGGGCAACAAAGTAGGGAGGAATAGGGAGGAGGAAAAAAGAAACGTACGGTATCGAGCACGCCCGACGCCCTCGGCTGTCCATCCACCCTGATCGGCTTCCCATCGAGATACTTCGAGATCTTCTTGTCGAGGGGCTCGAGCGTGTGGTTGTACGCTGACGCTGCCGCTAGTATCGACAGTAAAGTCAAGCCATATACGAGTGTTAGTGTTAGTGTCGGTGTCGGTGTCGGTGCAGAAGAAAGGAGTGAGATTAGTGCTACGAGGGAGCGAAGCGGAGAGAAGGGAGGTGGAGTTGAGGATGGCAAGTACATACCATGCGCGAAATTGACGAGCAATACCTCCAATCGCCTACACGCCATCGTGTTGCCCAATAAATTCTCGTCTCTCCCGTTCCTATCCGTACCCAAATAAAGCAAAAGCAAAAGACAAGCCTGTGAGAATGGTCTTTCTCGATCAAGTACCCCTCATCCTTCAACACAGGCCAAAGGGGTTATGATGGACAAAGGACGTAACGCAAAAAGAAATACGCACCGGATCCGAATCAACGGAACGACCTCCTCGCACTTATTCATCGGATACAACCCGTGCACGATCTGCTGTAAAGACTCGATCGTGCGCGGCATGTTGGTAGAGCGGAAGTAGACGTCTTGGGGGAGGGCGAGGTGGTCAGGGAGGAAACCGAGTCTGTTTGGGGAGGTGTAAGAAGGGAATTATGAGGAAGAGAATATGGGTAAGGATGGAAATATGTGAGTGAAGGCGAAGGAAAGGTGAGGATGAAAGAAAGGTTCAGAGGACACGTACTTGTCGACGTAGATCTTCCTCAACGCAAGACCGTAATCATACGTCGACTACAAAACACAGAGAACACAGATCATCAACAAAAAAAAACGCGTCCGACGCGTTGGTTTCCAAACAAAAAGCTTTTTGACGTACCTTCCGTCCTACATCCGTCAACTCGCCCAACAAACTATCACAAAAATCAAATGGGAGACAAACCATCAACGATTAGTACTCATCCTGAGATTTTATCACAACGTGAATGAGGATAGTACTGACCACTCCCCATCAACAACACTGCCATCCCCCCTCTCCACCACCCTCCTCACTTCCAACTCTGGCCTCCCTCCTCCCGCCGACCCAGTCGTATTCCACCCATGAAAATCCGGTCTCGGAAGCACACTCATTCTCTCCGGCTTCAAACTCGTACTCGGACTAACGGAAGAAGAGGATGCAGAGATGGGAGGAGGTGATGCTGGTGGTGGTGTGCCGAATACAGCTGCGCGGAAACGACGGGCTTGGGTGCAGAGGGTCCAGTGGGAGGGGATGGAGGCGGGTGGGGAGGACATGCGGACGGAGACGGGTGTGCGTTCGCCTGATGGGTTAGGTTGAGTACACGAAAGAGGTCAAAAGAGCATCAGTATTTGAATATATGATTGAGATGAAAAAGAGTCAGGGAGAGGGTGGATAGTAAAGAAATGGATGTCACGCGACCGGTAGGAGGTAGAACAAATGTAGCATGTTTTCGGTTTTTTGCTTGTGCTTTTGTTTGAGATTGCTAACAGAAAGTGAACCTACCATGCCTCACATAAACATGCACCTGCTCCAACTCCAACTCAGGCGGCGCGACCGTATAATTTTCCGCATCCAGCCCAGAAAGCGGGGCCTTATACTTTGAGTTCGCGCCTCCGCTTACACTGCTCGAACCCGACATAACGATACTCTCGCTCGTGTAATCGTCTGTGGGACCTGAGAGGGATTCGTCGCCAAACGTGCACTCGAGAAGAGTTGGGTCAAGAAGACAGTGCTCGAGATGGATGGGTTGAAGGAAAAATGAAGGGTCAACGTCCGCGAATACAGGGATAGGGCCGGAGTCGGAGTCAACAGTAATGTCGTGTTCTTCGGCGTCGGCAAGGGCGATGAGGGTGTTGAAGGACGTTGCTACGAGGACAAAAGTGAAGAGGCGTAGATGCATGTGCTCCGACTAGGACGGTGTAGAGTAATTGTAGAATAAGCGTAGTAATAGAAGTGGCGAGAGCTCGGGTGACTACAAAAGGGCTGCTAGCGCGCTTGTAGTGCGTTGCTTCAACGACTCTTCAACGTTGCTATTTTGTCTTGGTTTCGCACGGTTCGCGCGGGAAGTGGCGGTCTACGTTTCAACAAGCTCCTGCATGCTGTATACAGTAGCCTAAGAATGTGCGTCCTCTCTAGTCTTGACCCTCACTGGACCGGGGAGAATCATTATGGATGAACGTGAGTTTTCTTCTTCAGATTTCGCTTTCTGTGTGCGACGAGAGTGGGCGGCTATCCCCTGTACTAGGCACCGAAAGACTTTCCGTAGTACTAAGGGGTTTGTGCAAACCCTAGAACTCGATTTTTTACTTATTAGACGAGGCTCCCAGTGGGTGACTTTCCGTAGCAGTCTAGGAATGTTTCTTGGTGCACAGAGACATAAACACCGGGGGGATCATCTAATAAAGAATTGACTTCAAGTTGGGCCTCCTTTCCACTGGCAGGTCTATATACAAGAGGTTCACCGTCGATGGGCCTTGTGCCGTTAGCTCACGTATATCAGTTCTCGCTCCGAAATACAGGACAAAATGGGGGCTTAACGAATGCATAAGTACACTCGAGCCTACGCTTGACGACTCGCAGATTTGACGCTATGCGATGGGCATGCAACAGAGTTAGGATGTCGGCCTGTTCGCAGAGAAGGGGACAAATTGCATCGGTTGCAAGGAATCCGAGTCAAAACATGCAACTGTATATACAGGGTGGATGAGTACGCGTATACGAATTAGAGATGTAAAGTGGGCTGCAGCATAGCACCAAATACTTACGATCGGACCACAGCGCCGCTTTCTACTCAGCCTGATGAGCGGGTGAACTGGAGCGATCTTCGTGACCACCGATTCAAGCATCTGAGCTATCGCCGTCCAACGAGTCGAGGTTATACTTCTCAGGATGTGCTGGCTCCAGAACCGATGGACTATAATCACCTTGTTACATTTCTCTCGCCACACCTCCCGATAGGACGCACATCCTATCGACTTTCTCCGAATGAAGTTTGAACTACGTACTGCGAAAGAGCTCGGTCGAGGAGGCAGTGCTCGAGGGGTCGACGTCCGCGGACTCAGGGACAGGGACGGAGTCGACGGTGATGTCGTCTTGTTCGGACAGGGCGGCGACAATCGCGACGAGGGGCCTGGAGGATGTTGCTACGAGGACGAAAGGGACGAGACGGGAGAGGCGTAGATCGTGCTTCGACTACTAGGACAGTGAAGCCTGAGAGGAATTGTAGAATAATCGCAGAGGCAAAGCGATGGCTAGGGCGACTGCAAAAGGGTTGTTAGCTCGTTTGTACTCGTAGTGCGTTCCTTCAACTTGAACGTCGTACCCTTTCTTTCGCACGGTGGGTGCGGTGTGGCGGTCAACGTTTCGACAAGCGCGCAGCTGCAAGCTGTGTGGCCTACGAATGTTCGCTAGGCGGCGCCAGGCTGTGTGAGCTTCCTGTATCAGTGATGACGGTTACGCAGCACCGTTACATCCGGAGTGTATCATGCAAACATATGGCAAACTTTCTGCTCCTCGAGCGTGTCGAACACCTACACCAGATGGTATACAACAAAACGAAGAGTGTTGCGAACGACGGCACCGAACGATGGCTTTCTCTCGCTATCAATAAATAGAAGGAGGATGGTGTGAATGGGGTCCGAAGGTGATACATTCAAAGCGGGAGTGGGGAAGTGACGTGGAACTGTTGAGAACAGAGCATCCAGCAGTTGGCCGTGATCCCACCGTTGCAGCTCTTTGCAATAAACACCAGAAAATGCGTCTAAAATCGGCAAGGGGAGAGGCACTTATGACGAACTATAATTAGACGGAAGACTCAACTGATCGCCAAGCGGGTGAACGGCCCGAGAGGCTGGCTGCAGATGACGGAGTTTGTTTATCAAATGGGCCTTGATACAGGGTGCGCCGCAGCGAGAAAAGGGATCAATGCTCTGAGCCCCATTCGAACTCTGCCTTCGGACGCCAGCTCAGCGCACAGAACAACGACCGTGCGGCTAACTACTTAGCGCAACTATTTCTGACAGCGCACAACCTTTCTCTTTCTTTACCACCATCTGGCATGGCTCCCTCCCTTCCCCTCCCGGCATGGGCAACTCGCACACAGAATTCTCCTGCGGCTGTGAGGAGAGCGCAGCATGCGTTCAGGCTCCTCGTTAACAATCGGGGGTTTATTCCTGGGGGTAAACGAGGCTTTACACTCGTCGCTGGCTTGGCTTGCACGCTCCTCCTCTTCTCGTACTTCTCGACTGTAAGCTTCCATTATATCATCTACTTAAAATATGTGGTCCACTGACTCTTAAATTTTCTCCGTACTTTCCACTCTCACTTCCATTCACATCCACATTCCCAAACAGCCCTCGACTCTCCACTCCTACTACTCCTACTACTCTTCCTCCTCTTCCCCCTCCACCTCAGACGCCCGCTCCGACCTCCTCTCAGGCTGGAAAAACCTCCCCCCGAAAGTGATCTACCCCGAAACCCCAGACCATGCCTATCCCCTCCCACTAAGTGCAACATTGGAGGAACGTTTACATGCATTCCGCAACGCGCCCGGTGTAGGCTGGGAACCGCCTGATTTCGTCGCCTGGAATCTTCAGGTCCGTTCTCCTTCCACCTCCAACTCTTGCCCGAGACACGAAACATCCGGGTGCTCACAGCCCGAACGAAATAGACATGCGGCGAAGCGACGCCAAACCATAACAAAGACCTGATCGCAAAAGCCTCCCTAACCTGGTCCGTCCTCAACTCCTCCTCGATCCTCGAACACCGCGAACGCATGGCCCGTTTCCTCGAACATCATCAATCCATCGGATCCTTCGACGACCCGGACTTGAACCCCTACACCCTCGATGCAAACGGACTGGGCCAGGGATCGTTGGTCGGGAAGGGGAGGGGGATAGTGTTTACGGCGGGGAACGCGGATACGCTTGGGAGGGTGGTGACGACGTTGAAGTTGTTGAGGCAGAGGTATAGGTGTAAGTTGCCGGCTGCTATTTATCATTTTCCGAGTGAGAATCCGGGGGAGGACGATAATAGTGAGTTTTGCTTTTTCGCGTTTGAACCTTGGGCTCGTGGGTTGGTTTATTAACACTGTGGAAACAGTCCGGATCGAACTCGCGAGTCTGAACGCGAAGCTTGTTTCCGTCACGGGCGAAGAGAAGGACGAGACAAGAGAGAAGAACTGGCATTTGAAGGCGATCTCTATCGTTCAGTCGGAATGGGCAGAAGTCATTTACCTCGTACGTCTCCTTAACCCCATTCACTCTCCACCCCCCCAACCCGTTCTTCAAAGTGATACTCACAATATGCGATGTACGATAAATATAGGACTCAGATAACTTCCCAGCCGCCGACCCATCGTTACTGTTCAATGCTCCAGCATACGTCAAACTAGGGGCCTATTTCGCTCCGGATTACTGGAAGACTTCAGCTTCGAATCCTATCTGGTAAGTCACTATCCTCTCTCCCTCTCCCAAGAACGTTCACTTCACTTGAGTGCCCCCTCCAATCTCTCGCCTTCAAATGGCGCTCACTCACATAATGAATCAAACAAAACAGGCACATCCTCGGCGTCCAATGCCGCGACGAATGGGAACAAGAAGCGGGCCAGATCGTAGTCGACAAACGGCGCAACCTCGACGCTATGCTTCTCAGTCTGTACATGCTCAAGGATTGGCGGTATTGGTTCATGTTCAGTGATGGAGATAAGGACGTTTTCAGGTGAGTTTTTTTTTCTTCTTTTGATGCTGTAGAAAAGTGTGTGGCGTGTGGCCCAACTCAACGCAGCGCCAATCATCCCGCCGACTTCCGTATCCTCCCTTCTTCAGACCAATACTAATCTCGCCTTGACGCTTTCTATCTAACAACCAGGTTCTCGATGCTCGCCCTCCGCAAACGCTGGGCCCTCCCAGGCCGCTACGTCGGCGTCGGCGGTCTTCCCAACGGTGTCCCGACCGGCGATTTCTGCGGACATACGATGCAGCAGTATGATCATGAGGGCAAGCCGCTGTTTGTGCATTATAATTTGATGAAACAGGTGCGTTTTTGTTTCCTTTTCTTTGTCTTTTTGGTAGTGCGTTTTGGTCCTCTGGAGCTTCGCATCACCCCTCACACTCCCTGGTGGTGAAAGGGAGGGGTACGGGGGTGAGATTACGGGAACATTGAGTTGGATGGGGTTCCTGTCTTCGCACTCCTCCCTCTTTTGCGCTCTTTCCCCATGGGACATAAATGACCGGGATAAATAGACATCGGTCGGCGACTGATTTTCTGATTTATGTGCTGACGACTCCGGCGTCCCTCTACATACCTTCCTTCATACGTCACCTGTACCTCAAACACTCTACTGACCGCCGCTTCCCTTCCTGCATATCCAGATGCCTAGCGGTCTGGGCCGTGGACGTAGCTGGGGCAGGACGAAACAAGTCCGCGCGTACCCCTCCGTCCCCGCCGAATCCACCACCGTCAAACTCTCCGAACTGCCTTCTCCCTCGGACCACACCAACGACGACCCATCAGCCAACTCCCCCTCCTCCCCTTCAACACAACACGACACCCGCCAATGGGTCCCCTTGACCTATTTCCAGCACCCTTACCCCCAATCCCTCTCGCGAGACCATGAAAAGCTGCACCTATTCAACAGCACCGAAGTCGAGGCTGACATGCTCGCGAACGCGGACCCGCTGACGGGATGGGCGATCCAGCCTGCGACGGAGGAGGTGCGGAAGAGGGCGGTGCTGGAGAGGGGGTTGAGGCCTTATTTCCATGGCGGTGGGAATTCGGCGTTTTGTATCGATGTGAAGTGGGTGGATCCGAGGAAGGAGGCGTTGGTGGTCAAGACGGGCAAGGAAGAGGAGAGGCTGTATGAGAAGAATGGGAAGCCGTTGGAGGTGGAGTGGACGCAGGATGGGACCATTGAGGTGAGATTTCTTTTCCTGGTCCTCCTAAGGAGTGATTCGTCGTCCGAGCTGACAATATGTTTTCTCCTCCTTGTTTGTAGCTCGTCCAGTGGAGCTCCGACAAGCGACTCCGTATATTCGAGGATAACGTGTACGATATGGGATTCCAGCCACACGGATACGCCGCCGCCGTCGCAAGCAAGGACAAGGGACACCACTAAATTCCAATAAATTATCCCTCGAAACGCGACCGTTCTCCACCCTCGGGGCGTATCTGACCCACCGACGGGCATATTGTATTGTTGCTTGATCTTCCCCTCCTACGAACTCTATCCCTGAAGCGTATACGTGTACATACAGAGCCGGAGCGTTCTTCCCCCGGGGTTTAGCCAGTCGGACTTTTTATTAAGAGGGAAATGAGCGCGGTATGATAGCCTTATGCACACGCACCTCCATGCAGCGTGTGTAGTATGTGACGCCCATACAGTTTGCTTCTTTGTGCTTGCGCGGCGTTGCTTGTATTGCTTTCGTTTACTTAGTATTTTATTTGTTCAGAGAGATCGGAGATCACTCGTTTATAACAACCCGCATTCGTTTCGTTTCTGCACCCTTGAGAAGCCCTGCTCCAAAGGAAATGGGTGTCGACCTCGAGCCTTCTGCCGTCGATGGAGAGGCAGCAGACTCTGACGCTTGCGTACGACTTTCAGCTGTGGCACGCCACGAGAAATTTATGCAAGAAGTACAACTGAAGTATATATTTGCATAAGAGACACCTGTCAACGAACCAGCCGACCCGTCAACCTATGCTGACCAACTACTGGTGCCAATGGTAGGTATGATCGACAAAAGACTCACATGAGAATCTTCCTTACGAATCAGTCGAAAAGATGTATATGTTCGACCAATGTGATCTAAAGCACAACAGACGACATTCCAAGTCAAATCGAGCGGTCAGGTCAAAGATGCGGGATACTTACGCACCTTCTCCCACTATCCTCCCCTTAAATGCAAATATGAATCCGTACACCCATCCCATTCGACGTGGTCTACGCACTCTCTCAACAAACGAACCCATCTTTCCTGTAGAGTGCAAGACTGGATGGACAACCATCGGATCCTGGAAGCGGAGTTGTCGTCTAATTCTCTTCGGCGGCGTTCGTACAGCTCAGTGACGAATATGTCGAGGAGGGTGGTCTCGTACGGTTCCGAACTATCTGCCATCATGATTATGGATGTCCCGAAATCCACGAACGACAGCGCAAGATGCGACAACCGATTGAAATGAGGGGATTGAGCCGTGTGCGACGCTGGCTGTACGGAGTCGTCCGTATTCATTGCCTCTGGATTTAAATTGTCGTGGGGCGTCGACAAAACACATATGAGACTGACAGCGGCAGTTCCAGCGACGCTCAGATGTCTCAAAGTTCTGAGAGATCCAAAAGCAACGAGCCAATCGTCGGCAGACCAGGCGGATTTAATAGACGAAAGTTTGAATGACAATGTCGTGAGTTGTGGGGTTCTACCGAGGCCGAGAGAAAGAACCCATTGGATCGTGTTCGGAAGGCTGCTATATAAGATCCCACGATCAAACTCGAGATGTGATAGCTCCTTGCTATCGGGAATGAATTTTGAGAACTGGATGTCCTCATCGACGAGTTCCTCGGACCAGAACCTTGTTATGAGTGCGTAAGGGTCCTCCGTAACCTCCAAAGTGCGTGAAGGAGTAAGGGTAGCTCGTCTTGAGCGAGCAAACCATGCTAATTGATATGATGAGACCACGTAGTCGAAGTGGCCGAATACACCACCGGTGAGATGCAATTGTAATCGCGCTCGCGTGGGGAAGCTGATATGCGTGAAGACAGCAAGAGCCGTATGATAGTTGGTCTCCAACACAAATTCTCTCAGTCGAGCAAATTTTGGCATGGCGTTATCATCCATCGCCGGGAAAGGCGGAGTATATAAGGGGAGACATCCAGCCAACTCGAGCACCTCGAGCGTCTGCTCGTTGGGTCTCAGGATATGAAGAATCTGGGAGAGTGTCGGTGTGTTGCCAGGATCTGTGAGGTTCGATTCCCATTCGTTGAAGAAACCTGAGTTGTTGATGGATAAGGATACTAGATTGGTGAAGAGAGAAACCGCCCACGGAAGCTTCACGTATTCGAGGCGAACGCTGCGCAGGGAAGGTGCTCGGTCGCTACAAAAGTGAATCGGATATGCAAGTAGTCCTCCGGGAGTTTCGCTCAACTCTATCCGGCGAAGCATGGAGGGCCTTGAGGGGAGAAAACTATCGTTTCCATATGCGAGCTGCACGATATCTGAGGTGATATCAAGGTCCACAATCCGAGGAAGATAGGTTTGGAGAAGAGCTTTCACCAACGAGGTGCGTTTGGGGTAGCCCAACCGGCCGATCATGGTCAGCGGTGCCTCCTCGGATCGCTGAAGCATGAGTTCCATCAGTCTGGAACCACTATCTGTTGAAATGTATGTCCAGAGGAGAGAGTGCTGAAGAGCTATCTCTCTCCAACGATGGCAAACGTGTGAGACCGCTATCCAGCCTATATGGCGTTGGGATGGTGGGTCACTTTGTGCGAGAATTCTGAAAACTTCAAAAATAACCTGATCACAAAGTGTCGGCCAGTAAGGTCAGCACTCATATCAATGTTTTGGGGAACGTGAAGACGCACATCTTCCGGCAGCTGGATGGCAAGCATTAGCTGATTGCGCCGCACTCGTATGCGTTCCAGTACAAGTTGCAGGGCATCCAGTTCGTCATCAAGACGACCCTGCTCCTGGCTTGGTTCTACAGCGTTCTTCCTTGCAATGAGTAGTCTGGCGTCTCCCGCCGCGCTCCAAAAGTTTAGCGACGTTTGATCTGAATGAGCTAGCATAGATGAAACCAGAGTCTTTTCGACCACAGACTCATCACTGTCTGAGGTTGATATCGGATCCATGATATGTAGTCGTCAGTGTCTATCGCCGGAGTAAGTTGAGTCCGCGTACAAGCTCTAGCACGAGAGTTTGACGAGAGTCGAACAGTTGAGACAATCGCCTCGTGAGCCTTTATTTGCACGTGTTTGGCTAGAAACGAATTTCCTTGTAGCCTCCCAGCACCGCCACTACGCCACCGGGCCACTCTACAATATGGTTCTGATCTCATTGCTCACGGTAGTGAGGCCTGCCTCGCACATGCGAGAATATGATCGCTCAAATCATTCACCTCCTTCAGTCAATACCGCATGGGGCCGCCGTAAGGTAGTGCGAAAGCAGTTGCGCTGCTCGCGGTGAAACTGCCGACAAACTTCGTCCTAGTTGAACACGTCGATTACACGTACTACGAACAAACAACAACAGTTAATTATTGACTTTCATAGGTCCTGATCTTTCGGCTTGGGCTGCCGAGCCTCTATTGGACATTATTCTTTCAAGCAACCCCACTCCTTCCGACCGCCGATGGGCTGTAAAGAACGACAGAGCCGAACTCTCAAGTCAGATGGAGCGGTTAGGACGAGAAGGGGAGATACCTACGCACCGATCTCGGAGCGACTCTTCGCACCTTCTCCCACTATTCTGTCCCTGAAAGCGAATATGGATCGGTACACCCATCCCATTCGACGTGGTCCACGCATTCTCTCAACAAACGAACCCATGTTTCCTGGATAGTGCAACGCTGGATGGACAGCCATCGGATCCTGGAAATGGAGTTGCTATCGTCTAACTCTTCTCGGCGGCGTTGGTGCAGCTCGGTGATGATTACATCGTTGAGGAGGGTAGTTTCATACGGTTCTTTTGGACCATTGACCTTTAAGATCAGGGGTGCCCCGAAGTCCACGAGCGACAGCGCAAGATGCGACAGCCGGTTGAAATGAGGGGATTGAGTTATGCACGACTCTGGCTGTACGTCGTCCGTACTGATTGCCTCTGGATCTGGGTTGTCGTGGCGCGTCGACAAGAGCGATATGAGACGGACAGCGACATTTCCAGAGACGCTCAGATTTCTCAAAGTTCTGAGAGATCCAAAAGCAACGAGCCAATCGTCTGTGAGCCACTCGGATGTAGACCTGAATGTCAATGTCGTGATATGTGGGGTGGTACCTAGACCATGAGAAAGAACCCATTTTATTGTGTCTGGTAGGATCCTATGTAACATCGTGCGATCGAACTTGAATTGCGATACTTCCTTGCTATTGGGAGTGAATTGTGAGGACTGGATGTCTTCATCGACGATTTCCTCGAGCCAGAACCTTGTGATAAGTTCGAAGCCTTCCACCGTGACCTCCAAAGTGCGTGAAGGAGTGAGAATAAATCTCCTTGAGCGAGCGAACCATGCTAATTGATATGATGATGGCACGGATTGGTTGCTGCTTGCTCCGACGGTGAGATGCAGCTGCAATCGAGTTCGTGTGGGGATGCTGATATGCGTGAAGACAGCCAAAGCCGTATGATAGTATGTGTTCAGCACAAAATCTCTCAGTCGAGAAAATTTCGGCATTACACTATCATTCATCGTCGGAAAAGGGGGAGTATATATGGGGAGGCATTGCACCAACTCAAGCACCTCGAGTGTCTTCTCGTTGGATTTCAAGATATGAAGTATCTGGGAGAGTGTCGGTGCATTGCCAGGATCTGCGGTATCCGAGTCCCGTCTGTTGAAAAACCCTAAGTTATTGATGGACAAAGACACCAAGTTCATGAACGGAGAAACCGCCCACGGCAGCTTCACGTATAGGAGGCGAACGCTGCGTAAGGAAGGAGCACTATCGCTACAGAAGTAAATCGGATAAGCGAATAGTTTCCCACGAGTTTCGGTCAACTGAATATGGTGAAGCTTGGAGGCCTTTGTGAGGGGTAAATCGTCTCCATATGCGAGATCCACAACATCTGAGGTGATGTCAAGGTCCACAATCCGGGGAAGATAGGTGTGGAGAAGAGCTTTCACCACTGAGGGACGGTTGGGATAGTCAAGCCGTGCGACTAGGGTCAGTGGTGCCTCCTCGGATCGCTGGAACATGAGTTCCATTAGTCTGGAACCACAACTCATCGAGATGTACGTCCAGAGGAGAGAGTGCTGCAGAGCTATCTCTCTCCAGTGGTGGCAAACGTGTGAGACTGCTACCCAGCCTATACGATTTTGGGATGGTGGGTCACTCCGCGCAAGAATTCTGAAAATCTCAAAAATAACCTGGTGCTCGGTCAGTAAGGTCAGGACACACCAATTTGAGGCCTAAAGACGCACATCCTCCGGTACTATCACTCCAGCAGTGTTCGGTAACGAATTCGCAAAAATATTCCCTACACTTTATATCGAGCTCTGAATAGACGAGGTTTGTCACGGACGCTGGCAAACATCCACGCTACCTGTCTCTGAGATTTAACCAGTCGAAAGTGAGGCCTGTCGTTGAGCGGAACGTTTCCGGTGGTTTTGAGGGGTGTTCGGTAATTTCTCCGCACATTGGTCACGACGAAGTCACTATGCCGAGGCTTCGGCATTTTCAACTCCGCTGAAAGCGGTGCTAAACGTGTGGCTCTGCCACGCACTGGAGGGCTGTTCGGTATGTGCGGAGATCGAAATATCTGCCCATTTTGGCAAGCGTGACTTCGATGTCTCGCTCGACGAGGACGACGTTCTGCCATTCAACAACGACGATGGATCTGTGCCCCGGAGAAATTGGTAGGCAGTAGACATGATCCATTACGCCTCGTCATGATTTACTCACACAAATCGGAACCGATCCACCAACACAAGAGGAGAATTAGATTTAAACGCCATTTACCGAAGTGGTATTCCTCAAACCACTTTTCCTCCTGTGCCCGTTGCAGCTTCTGGATTTTTTTGTGGCATCTATGAAGCTATATCAATGACCTAAAAAAAATTGAAGAGAACCGAGTTGGTATTGGCTACTCTGTGAGCTATTACCGAACACCCCTAGATTACCGAACACTATTTTAGTGATAGTAGTTGATTGGCAAGTATCAGCTGGTTGCGTCGCATTCCTATCCGACTCAGTGCAATTTGCAAGGCATGCAATTCGTCATCAAGGCGAACCTGCTCCTGGCTGCTCCCTGAGTCATTCTGAGCCCTTGCAACGAGTAGTCTGGCGTCGGCTGCCGCGCTCCAAAAATTCTGCGACGTTTGATCTGAATGTGCCAACATAGATGAAACCAGAGTGTTTGCGACCAAAAGTTCATCAGCGTCTGAGGATAGCCTCAGATCCATGAGATGTCGTTGTCAGTGTCTGTCAGAGGAGCAAGGTGGTCCGTGTAAGTCTGTGTACGAGTACAGCAGTACTTTCTAGCTGCAGCTCGATCGCCTCGTGAGTCTTTATTTGCACGTGTTTGGTTAGACGAATTTCCTTGCAGCGCCGCCACTACGCCACCGGGCCACTCTACAAGATGATTTTGATTTCATTGCTCACGGTAGTGAGGTCTGGCCTGACGCCTCGCGCTTGCGAGAACATGATCTCTCAAATCATTCACCTACTTCTATCAGTACCGTATGGGACCGCCGTATGGTATTTAGTGCGAAAGGAGTTGCTCTGCTCGCGGTGAAACTGCCGACAACCCTCGTCCTAAAAGACATCAATTACACGTACTACAAACAAACAACAACATGTTAATTATTGACTCTCATATGTCTTGATCTTTCAGCTCGAGCTGCCGAGCCCCTATTGGACATTATTTTTTCAAGCAGCCCCACTCCTTCCGACTGCCTTCGCTGCGCCCTCCAACTTCGGCAATGACTTCCTCGCCTTCTCACCCTCGGTTGGTGGGGGCAAGAAGCCCGAAAGGACCAACCAAGCCAGATACTTACCCATCAAGTCCTCTGGTACCGTTGTCACCATCTCCACTCCTTCTTTTTCTGCCTTCAACACGGCCGTCATGTTACTATCGTCCAGGGAAGGAGCCTTCGTACTTGTCGGCAGATCGTCGAGCACGAAATGGAGGAGCGGGAAAAGAGCGTTGTCCTGCACTTCCATGACGTGTTGCTCGAGCTTGCGTCTCCAGACAAGATATTCACATTGAGTGGACGCGAAGCCGTATTCCGAGAGAGTGGACAGGATGGCGTTGAAAGTTGGGATTGGACGTGCTTGGACGTGGAGTACGGGGAGGGGTGGCGAGGTTGCAGAAGATGGAGGAAGAAGAGGAGAGATGGTGGCAAGGGAGACGCAGCGAGCTACATGGTCTACAGGAACCATGTTGATGGTATTGTTGATGTCTGGGACAAGGCCGAGTTGGACGCAGCCCTTGACCATACGCCACACAAAGTCATCCGTGTTCGTCACTGGTGCAGATATTATGAGCCTTAGTAGAAAAAATAGAGAAATAATCGAAGTTTGCACAAACCTGCTGAAGTGGAGTCACCAACGACGTATCCGGGTCTCACGATATGCCCACGGAGACCTCTCCTGCCAGCCTCAAAGAGCAGCTTCTCTGAGACCCACTTCGACTGACCATAACCAGTCTTCAGTGTGTTCCTGGCACCTTCGAGATCATCACTCTCGGGAACGCCACCTTCAAGTGACTCGGCCAGACGGACATAATGTTCCGAGTCGATAGCAGATGTCGAGGAGACGAAGACGAATACCTTCTGCTTGCCAACGGATGCGAGCTCAACGGCCGTCAAAGTACCGATGACGTTGACCGAGCGAAGTCGCTCGTATGGATACACCCAATGAACCTAAATGAACAATTAACTACAGAAAATATGGCAACAGCGAAACACCTTACCAGAGCTCCGTTGTGTAGAACAGCGTCAGCCTCATGTGCCACACGATCCCAAGTCTGCTCATCCAACCCAAACCTCTCCTGATCCAGGTCGCCACGAACGACTTCAATCCTTCCATTCTCGACCCATTTCTCATCCCAGACGCCACGATCACTAGCTCCCTCCCTCAATCTTGCAAGGGCTTTCTCATCCGTGGATGCACGAACCAAACAAATGACCTTCTGGACTCTCGCCTCTCGAGACAGCAAGTCCCGAAGGACAAAAGCGCCTAAGAAACCGGTGGCACCGGTCAAGAACACCGTCAACGGGCGGCTGGTGAAGTCGGAAGGAAGGGCAGGATACGAAGGGTGCAGCTTCGACACCAATTCCTCGTAATCTTTGCCGTACTCCATACTCGGGGCCACAGCAGCCTTCTTCGCTTCCTTCGCTTCTGCGGAGGCTGTACTGCTGGTCAAGCCGAGGTCAGCATTGCGCAGGTCATCGACCTCAGAGGCCAAGCCGCCGATGGTCGGTTGGTCGAAGATGAGACCCAGAGGAGCGTTGATGACGAAGGTCTTGCGTATCTCGAAGATAAGGCGGGTGGCGAGGATGGAATGACCGCCGAGATCGAAGAACGATTCATCGAGGGGAACGGGGGAAGGAGCATTAGGGAGGATTCTGGACCAGATGTTTTGAAGCTGTTGTTCTGTGGGAGTAACCTCAGAAGGACCAGTGACGGTCTTTGGCTCGGCGGAGGCAGCTTGTGCTGTATCGGGGAAGGGAAGAGCTGGCTTGTCGATCTTGCCGTTCGGGTTGAGGGGCATACGCTTCAAAGGAACAAACACTGCATTTGGACCATAACGATCAGACCATGAAGAAGGACGAAAGTAAACATAGAACATACGGGTAGGGATACTGTAGCTCGGAAGCTTCTTCTTCAGGTGCTCCCTGATATCTCGAATCAATTTCCTATACTTCCTGATACCGCCAACGACATCCTCCCCGTCCGGAATATCGCTAGCAAAGCCATCGAGGTCCGGCCCATCGAGAGGGACGAAATAACTGACAAGGATCTTCTCCTCGTCTTTATCTCTCCGCACCAACGTGACGTTCTCCCTGACCAAAGGATGCTGGCTAAGATGGGTATCAATCTCCCCGAGCTCGATCCTGAACCCACGGATTTTAACCTGGTCATCCGCCCGTCCGGTACACTCTACAATGCCATCCGGCATGTAACGCCCTAGATCTCCTGAGCGATACATCCGATCACGGATACCTTTCCAGTACTGTGCTTCGGGATGCGGTTGATCATCGATGGGATGGAGTAGAGTATCTTGTCGGGGTGTGGCGTTCGCCGCGAACCAGTTCGCTACGAACTTTTCAGCGGTGGCCGCGGGGTCTGAGTAGCCTTCGGCCAAACCACCGGAACGAACGTAGATCTCTCCGACCTCTCCGACTGAGCAAGGAAGGTTCCTGTCGTTGCGATTAACGACAAGGAGCTGGACGTCAATCATGCCTTGACCAGCGGGCATGATGTCTTTTTGTGTGGCGAGGAAGGTTTGATCTTCGGCGATGCTAGGGATGGCGAAGTAGGAGACCGCGCGTTGGGTCTCGGTCGTTCCGTACATGTTGATGATACAGGCATTTGTGGCGAGAGATTGAAGGCGAGTGCAGTCACGCTTGGTAAGGACATCACCGACGAAAAAGGCACTACGGAGGGAGGGGATTTGACGGGTCGCTTGCGCAGACAGTAGCTGGCCCATAGCGGGGGTAAGATGGGTCACCGTAACTTCGCTGTTCGCCATCCATTCAGCAAGTCGCCCAGGAGTTCCGATATCGTCTGCGGTTGGGACATGTAGCTCAGCGCCGAAGAAAAGAGGCGTAAACACTAAAAACGAAGTGAGTCTTGACATGAGAACGGAGACAAAACGTGGAATATTCACTGTCTCGCTGAATGGGGTCGTGAGCGATACCACTGAGCATGGTGAATTTGGAATGCTCTCCGATCCCGAATCGCTCGCCCATCCAAGGGAAGAAATGGGTCAGGCTGTAGTGCCGTCCCTTGACGCCCTTGGGGATGCCAGTGCTACCACTCGTGAATGACAAGGTACCGACGCTGTCGGGGCCGAGGACGATGTTTGGATCTGCTTCCGCGAGGGAAAGCTGCTGCGTCAAGACATCGCTCCCATCCGGTCCTGAACCTCCCACAATCTCGCCGTTGGCCTGAAGCTCAAGCGCAGGGACCTCGACGCATATTTGAAGTTCGGTGGTGATAAACTCGCGGACAGAAGGGCTGATACTTCCGGCGCCCTTGAGAACCACCAATCCTCGTGGTTGAGCTACACGAAGATATATGGTCTGACGTGACGGAGGGTATGCCGGGTCTTTATAATTATGTTAGGGCCGTGTTTGTGCAATGAGATGTAGCGACCAACCGATTACGGAGAAGACAGCACCGGCTTTGAGAACAGCCATGACCGCCACGACAAGGTCGACACTCCTGTGCGCATAAACCATCACGACGTCTTCCCTTTTGATACCGCCTTGGATGAGATGGTGAGCAAGAATGTTGGACGCTCGTCTGATGGTGCTATAAGTGAAGGTCTGCTTCTCCTGAGGATCGGTGAGGTTGGCTGCTGGAAGACTCTGGATGACGCATGGCCTGTCTGGCCATCGTTGCGCGTTGCGGGAGAAGATGTCGGGAATAGCACCCTTGAAGTCGCACCAATTCAGATCGGCTGTGGGGTCGGGTAATGTGGCGCGTTGCTGTGGCGTCAGCAAAGGGATAGAGCCAACTGGGAGGAGAGGGTTGGAAGCGACCTTGCGAAGAAGCACAGAGAGCTGGTCCATGATATAGGAGATTCTGGAGGCTCGGAAGAGCAGGGAGTTGTAGATGATGCGGAGGGATATGCGAGGAACGAGCGAAGCATGGGTGGACGCAGCTGGTGGTCGGGTGACGAAAATAGTGAGATCGGAGGTAAGACTTGTCGAGCGCACAAAGTTCTCCTTCTGCTCGTCGGTTTCGTCAAAGAATCGTACGCGGAAGAGAGGTCGAGAACCCTCCACGGTATCGTCTTTGTCCTTGCCCAGAGCGCGAAGGATGGTCTCGTACGGTAACGAGTCCGCCTCGGCCTCCTTCTCCACCTGCTGCACCTTCTGGACTACGGCCCAAAATGGGTCACTTGGATCCACTCCCAGTCTAAGTATTAGAGGATCTCTGGCAGATGCAGATGACGAGCCAATAACGAGATCGGAGTCGCCGGTGTAACGATGAAGTAGGACGGCGAATGCAGCGAGTAAAAGGTGGAAGGCTGAGGTCCCGGAAGATGGTTCGGTTTCTTCATCTTCACCGGAGTTTTCGCTGTATAGAGCAAGCTTGAGCAGACTCAAAGATGTCTGTTCCGAGAGCTCTGCCGAATGAGCCGCTTCAACGAGTCGTTGACCACCAGACGGACGTGGGTAATCAGTCGGAAGGGATATAGAGGGTAGATTTTGGAGCCGTGAGACCACACGGCTAAGAGTATCGTTAGCCATGGCGGCGCTAGCTTTCGGTCAACAAGGGTAGAGCACTTTTGTAGTAGCCGTCAAGTTAGCAATTCATGCAGAGGAGGGAAACTGAAAATCAGTGACTCGAAATTGCGAAAGATAATCGCGTGCATGACATCCTGTAGATCGCGATCGCTATAGATAAGATAAAGCTTCATCAAGCTTTGATCAAGCCATAAGTATTGCCGCCGTTCGACGTTTCACCAGGACTCTTTAGCTTCAGCGCTCAGCTCCTGCTATCACACCTAGCACAACGTTATAGACTCGGACCATGAGAAGAATGTCAGGCTCCCACTGTTTTCTACGAACTGTTTGAATCTCAGAGGATCGGTCCGCGGAGTGGCTAAAATTGGGAGGCCGATTACTTATACGTTATTCAAGAGGATCATTGACATCGTGCTATACGAGGTAGAGATAGATGCCACCCGCAGGACACATCTTCATAAAACGGATCCCGATTTTGGACGGCGATGGAGAGCAATGATGCGTGCGAGACGTTTCTTCCACACTGTGATGACAGGTCCGTCATGATTCATCTCAGCTCACTCCTTCCTTCCGGATCATCATCAACGAGCTTGCTGATTGTACACCTGGTATGTACAAAATTGCAGCGCTTTCATACAGTAGAATAAGTCTCTCGTTGAATGAGGATTATTCGCTTAATCGGTTTTGTCCTAGGGAAACCTTGACCTTACAGGACGATGGCCAGAGCGATACCGCCGCGTGAAAGCTCGATGGAACAAATTCATTGCAGATCTCATGGATATTCTCTTGTATGCTCACCCAGAAGTGGTCGAGCGCAAGATAGAGATGCGCGGTGAAATTCTCGAGGCATACACTGAAACAGCCTATCGAATCGAACCACAAGAAAAGTGGGATCGATTTGCCGCCGAGTGGCATGCCGTCGGTCTTAGCCCCGAGTATCTTCACGACCATGCAAGGTACATATATAGGCTGCATCCTATGTATTTGACCACCATCGTTTAACAACATAAACAAAGAAACCTTATATATTTTAACTAAGAATCCTATACCCAAGATCCAAAAATTGAAGCTCATGGACCTTCCTACGGAATGGGTATAAGTCTAGCTTCCCTCCACGACATTCCTCTCCCTGTTCGCCAACTCAGTCAATGAGAACTTCCAACATCTCCTCGTCGACTTCCCTTCAGGTTGCCTCTCGTCCATACTCAGGTATACGTATGCTGGCATATCTTTATCCACCTTAACGTCTATCACCCTTCCATCTTCTCCACGCTGGATCCACGAATTGTCACTGAGCGGTCGTGGATATGTAGAGAGGGTCTCAAGCGTCGCAACGGTGGTAGCCAAGTATCGAGCGAATGTATTGTCGTCACCGAGCAAGTCGAATGACTTCGCGTTTTCGTCCCGGTCGAGACGGAAAAGCCAATCGTCATCCAGCTCGATCTTTCCGAGGCTTTCCTCCAAGAAAACCAGACTCCTCGATGTATGGTCCCACTTCTCGAACCGAAAGTTCCATCCGAAGTGCTTGAGGTTTATGAAGCCTGCGAAGGCAGGAACATATTCGTATGAAGGTAGAGGCCAAGGTATCGGTAGACTGGGCGCCTCTGGTCGTTTCTGACCCCAGTATATGAGCACGAGCGTTTCGAGCGCAGGAAAAGCACTGGCGATGCGAGCGATGAGGTCTGGTCTGGCGTAAAGAAGGCCGTCGATGTAGAGAACACGCATATGTGGGGCCCGAGGATATGCTAACGCGTCGAGAAGGGTAAAGATGCTTTCGCGGCGTGCACCACCGTGGACGAGCGTGATGCTGAGATGCGTGAGGGAGAGGTGAGGACATGGCACGGTATCAAGCCAGGAAGCGAGAGCGGCGATGGAGCGTTGTGGTATATTAGTAAGAACAAGCCGTTCTATGGTCGCGAAAGGATTGATTCGAGCTCGGAAATTTGCTGCAGGAAGTCGTGTTCCGCCTTCGAAGTTGTGAAAGCTGCCGTGTATTTTGAGGTAGAGTAATTGTGGGCAAAATCCAAGCATGCTCCACTGGGTGATATGCGAGATCGTAGAAAAGCCCATTGTAAGGTTTACGATGAACGGTAAAGCGTCTACGAATCTTGAATGGTCGTTACTCTCCAGGATGTGGACATTCACGGTAGAATCAGTCAGTTCCAGCGTGTGCAGAGTTGGGCAAGCGAGTAGAGTATGAAGGAACTCGTCGTGCAGATTTGTGCTGATGAAGCGGATTGTGTGCAGATTCGAACAGGATTCGAAGAGATGGCATAAGAGTGCTTCAAAGTTAACACGAAACTCAGGAGAGATGTTCGCCAGCCAGCCCCAGGGTTGCAGCCGGATATTTCTGTCGATGATAAGTTCGGGTCTCCATTGATCAGCGTATGTGATCTTTCGAACAAACTGTAAGGCACTATCAGGATGGGATAGAGTGTTCTGGAGGCGTGAGACCAAGCGTCCGCGCTCGTCCAATGCAAGAGCTTTGAGATACGGGTCTGTCATGTGAGGATCGTCGCGCCTTGAGTCCCAGTCGACCTTGTTCCAATCTGGCTTGCAGCGGAACAAGAATCCGAGTTCCTGTATGGCCGAGAGGAGAAGAGCGTATGATAAGGAGTCTACTCCAATTGTGAACAAGGGAAGTTTTCTTTACGGTATATCGGTAACGCAACGATATCTCGTGCAATGCGCGGCAGGTTCTCCCAATAAACTTGAGTTCGTGTTGGCTAGCAAGCCCTAGGATATGATCCAATAGCTCCGTAGGTAGGTCCATGAGTGTAAGTTTCTGGAACATTGGCATCGGGTGCTGAGCTAGTACGGCAAGCGTCTCCCTGTGAGATCACATCAGGTATATTCCATCCAAGAAATAAAATAGGAGGTCTACCGTGTGCGCCGCTCAAGAGATTCAAGGTCAAGTCCTTCATGAATCTTCCACTTCCCGGCGAACGCATCCCATACGTCTTGAGGTTCGACGCGGTAGTACTCTATCTCGACAGTTTTGATTGTGGCATGCAAAAGGACGGTCATCATGTCGGCCAAGAACCTCTCCCATCGTGACTTTACGCGGTCATATCTTTCTGGGAAGCGCCCCGTGAGGTCCAAGCTACCCTGAAGTGACCATGATCAGATATCAGTGAAACGCCATTGACCAAATGACTAATAACTTTTTAAGACCTTGTGAAACCCCTGGAACAATTGAGCCAGTGTCAGATCCTATATCGGCGAGTTGTCGTCAAGCCAGAGACCTCACGAACCTGGATATTCTCAAAGAATCGCTGCGCAAGGATAGAACTCTTATACCAGTGACGGAAGTTAGCAGCCCCACTTTGAGCTACGCTGATTGCGTGGTTCTCCAATTCGCCTTGGTACAGCTTCAAGTACGGTCTGCCTCTGTGGTAATTCAAAGCCGCGTCGATGCCTGTCACGACCACAGCAGTATGAGACGGTTAGTTGCCGTCGTGTCATAACTCTAGCCACAGACCTTCTTCAATTTCTGGCTCTGAATCCATGGGTGAAAATTAGAAGAAAGGGAATGCGACGACAGGCCTGGGCCAAGTCGGAGGAACGACGCGTCGCGCTCAGGTTTGCTGACTAAGAAAACATCTTTGAGCGAGCCCCTGTGGCCCATCTCGCGCCACCCATTTATCCTTGAACTGAGGATCATCTCTCGTCCATGACTTGACAAGTACAAATACACCAAAATTCCGTTATATCTACAAACAATGTTTAATCTTCTCCAGCCACATCCGTCCTATGAGCGACGTAGCGCTCGGTTCCAACTCCAAACTGTTTTCAACCATCTCTCGTCCATGTCTGAAATTTGTGCGACGGCTGATCCTCCATACAACCTGTCCTTCAAATCGAAAGCTAAATCCTTCTTCTGTGCAAAAAACTTAATCTAGGAAGAGACCGTCTTCGGCTTCCACGATATCTGGGAGGGGCAAGATGACGTGCGAGTCGCCCTACAAAAGCACATCAAACGCGACAAGAAAGAAATAAAAGTACCGTCAGTTTCACGCTCATCCGAATACAAAGACCACAAGCGATAAGGGAAGCAAACGATTGGACTCACTCTCCCTGCTCAAACTTCCCGTCCTGCAACGGCCCCAACGCATTCAAATAGAACTGCACCGAAGTCAGCGCGCCGTTGGTGCAGACAAGGTCGGGCGTGTAGCTCGTTCCGGATTGAATAGCATCTTGCATAGCGGAGGCAGAGTATTTCTTTGAGGAGGAGGGCGTGATCTATACATACACGGTCGCAATTAAGTTAGCGCCTGCAAGTGTTTAGTGAAGGAGAGATATGATATGTACGCCTGCGTCGGAAAGGGCCTGATAGACGTTCAGCTCTTGGAAGAGGTTGACGATGGTCTGGAAGTAGAGCGTCGCCTAGTAGCACGGGGAACCATAACCACAGGTTCAATGGCAGACGGGTAGAGAAATAGTACGTACTTCAGCACCGCTAGTATATCCCGAAAAGCACGAAGGTTCCAGCGTCGAAACACAAGTCCCATGCGTTGACCATTCATGCGCCCAGAAAGCCTCAGGGCTCTCGTCGTTCGATTGCCAGTAAGTCTCCATGACTTTTGACGCAGTTGGCCACACAACGTCAGTAAAATGAGACAGAAACCGAAAAGTAGTGAGACGTACAAGACTTAAGCTGAGAAGGCAAGTTGTTCGAGATGCTTGAGGACGAGTAATCCCTGCTCGAATCACAGTTCTCATAGAATTGACCATTACACTTGTCCGGCCAGAGCCCGTGAATCCCGAATCTATCCTCACACATCTAGCCTTGAACGTCTTCCAGCGTGAACGCAAACAAGGGAGACACTCACGAATCCGCCTCCCCAATATCTAAATCCCAAAGTTGTACATGGACCAGCGCCCCACCGGGCGTCACGACACAACAACTATCTACACTCCCGCTCTCCGCCTCAGTCGAACAGCTCAGCACCGCCGGATCAGGGCACGTTTGGGCTGGCTCCACGGCCGCACTCGTACGGTGCTTATGGTGCCTCTGGTGCACGCGCAGCTGCTTGCCTTCCCCGCGGACGGGACGGCGAGGGTTGAAGACTCCAGAACCGTCTGAGCCGGAGGTGCCAGAGGGGTCTGAGGATCCGGAGCCGGTGAGGATGTTCTCGACGTTGGGGTCGGAGAAGTCGATGCCGCCGGAGAGGTTATAATATCCAGGAACAGAGGAGAGCTTTCCAGAACAAGTATTGAGATGGGTGGGAGGCGTGGCGAGATGAGACAAATCGCTAGGGTTTGAGTCGAGCTGGAGATTGTCAAAGAAAGGTACAAGAGACAAGAAGGCCTGTAGAAGCTGCATCGTAGCTAGCGACTGATTGAGAGAGGAGTGTGGGGGGAAAGTGCAAGATCCTGAGAGGATAACAACGGGGGCCCCACTGCACAGTCCCTGGCCTTTATAGAATACGAGAGTGTGACGACACGCAAGATGCAGGAGATGGATCACCAATGGAAGCACGCTTCGCGAAGACAGAGTGAATGATTCGGGCCACACGTGCGTACGTAGTAGAGATAAGTGGGCGGCCGAGTCTTCTTCTACACCGGTGTCACCGCTTGAGCAACGCAGATTGTAGTGACTTGAATGGAATCCGGGATCGACGCCACATATGCAGGCAGTCCAAAGCTCGGAAGCAAAGCTGTAGATCTTCGTCCTATGACAACTAACAAGCCCAAAGAGATACCAGAAGGAGTGTACAAAAAGAAGAGAGGCTATCAGTCTCTCCAAATAGCTGCGGACTGGAGAGACAGAAGTTCCGGTGATGAAAGTGAGTAGGGGATCGTGTGAGGAATGGATGATACTTGGGGAGTTACGGAGCAGCGAAGAAAGCTTGAATAAGAACGTTCGACCGGTCAGCTGTGATTAGCTATAGGAGGGAGTTCATGCTCATGTCCGAATGGTGTACCTGTGTCCCATAAATGTTGAGCAACGCCGCTATACGGCATCGTATACCTGCAAAAGTTGAGAACGTTCGCTACGCGCCTGACCCGTCAGAGAAAAAGACGTTGGCCCAGATAGTGATGCGGGAGTCGTCGAGAACGTGGCCCCACGCGACCCACCGGCGACGTTTAGCGTGAGTCGTGGCGGTCTCAAGTGGCGACGTGTGCCAACCATGACCCCTACCTTAAATTGTAGTGCTAATATATGCCCTCACATGCCTAGGAAATTTGTATCTAGAGTCGTTAACAATATAATGCTCGAAGGTTTTCTCGAAGGTACCAAATCTTGCGAGTTGACGCGGAGGTTTTGACAGTCGTGTGGCGTCGTGTCCACGAAGAATGCTCACTGTGAATTCCATGCACCACACGGCTTCATAAAACAAACAACTCACATCAGGTCCTGCCCAGATTTCATTCCAATTTATGTGGTTACCAAGATTCCAAACTGCTTCAGACAATGTGAGGATAAGTATGGCCTCGCATGCCAGTCATCGGGCGAAATTGCACAACTCTGGTCGGCTATTCCGGATTGCTTCCGGCTCACCGGAGCTGCCAATCGCCCGACACTCGTACTTACCACCTCTTTGCAAGCACTGGCGACGGATTGAGGATCCAGGCTCCCTCTTCCAGCCAGCAGTCCTCCGGTCAGAAGAACGAGCTCGGGATGTCGTCGAGTCGGGAGTCGTCGAAGTTCGTCTACAGTCCGCACTTCCGAGGAAGCGCGCTCTAAAAATAGGTTTCTCGTCCTCCGAGCTTTGCCCCTATTTTCAACTAACCGCACTCTCCGTCCTCTCTCCCTTTCTCTCCCCTCAATCTCGCCTTCGCCTCTCTCGCTCTGTGACTCTCTCGTCGTCCGAGCTCAACGCGATGACGTCAAACGTCAGACATGGTCCGTGCGCCATTGCACTCGAGCTACATAAGGCCGCTGGCTCGCGCCCCTCTCGTCCCCTCCTTCTCGCTCCCTCCCCTCTCGCTCCCTCTCGCTCCCTCTCCTCTCGCTCCCTCTCCTCTCGCTCCCTCCCCTCTCGCTCCATCCCCTCCCGCACCATCCTCTCATCCTCTCCCAACGCCGGTCCACCTTCTCGCACTCTTAGCTCTGCGCCATTCCCGCCCTTCGCCTTAGATCTCCCCTCTCACTCCCGCTCTCGAATGCCTTCCCATATACTCACCCGCTATTCTTCACCCAGGAGCAAGAATCTTTTCAAGAAGAACTCACCGTTACTTGATTGCTACGGACGAGGCAGAAAGTGCACGGAGTTGTAGGGTGATAATATAAAGTATGGTCCGAGTTTTACCATACTCTTCCAGCATTCAGGCCTGCGAGGAGGGTCCAGGTGCGTCACTCACTATTTGTAACTCAATGACTTACGTACTCACGTTGCTCTCTCGCTGTAGTGTTCTCATCTACCGGTCGATATTTTGTTGTGTGTCGTACGTTTTCACGGTGCTTTCGGTGTTTCTCGAGCCCAAATGAGTTTCTCTTTATACTTAGCATATATTGAGGGTTGGAGGGTATGGTATGTGATAGGCTGTTTGTTGCTGTCCTTATATATTGTACCACACTGTAACTACCAGTGCCAATATAATGTCATTTGATCTTTTCTCCACGAGTGACCAGTAAAAAAGCACCCCAATCATTAAAAAAAAAACCAGTATGGGCAACAGCAACAGCCTGTGCATGATAGTGTCTCATAAGCTCGCAATTATTTGTGTGAACACCCACGGGACGCGATGTTCAGCATAAAATATGCGCCACACATGCTCTGCGACCACTCACGACGCGCCACAATTCTGGAAACTGTCCTCAACAGTCGTGAGCGAAGTAACCATTGAGGCCCGTCGCAACCTCGACAACTCTAGTCAAGACTCACGGTAGAGATATTCCCCATAGATATTCTAGGTGCGGTTGTGTCAGGTTCTCGAGGATCGCGTCGAGCCATCGACCATGTGTGGCGTCGGATGGTCAAGTATTCCGGCGACTAATTTGCTGACGCCTTGGGAGGGCACAAAATCAGTAGTTCGTACTCTATCCGGAGCTCTGAGGATCGGTTATGTATGGGCTCCATCGTCCAGTTGTCAGGTGTGGCGAAAAAAAAAGTACCAGGGGGATTACGCGTTCTCGGTCCTTCCTTGGATAAGACCTCAGAGCTGAGATTTGCCAGGACCTGCAGCAGTTGATTCTAGATCTGGTCAGTGAAAGGTATAGTATAGCCTTCGGCAACAAAAATTCAGACGACTGGAAGGAAGGAAGGAGGACTGCCCCGCTGGTTGGCCCAATTTTACCACGTCGACACGCGCGAATGAGTGTGGCCCCGAGTCTGTGTGGCTCTCCCCCCTTGAGTCCTGACCATCGACACCATCATGCAAGAGTACCTCTCTACAATACATTTAACCTGTCTTATGGCCTCCTGAGAGCTCAAGGTCGATACACTCCTGGGTAGAGAGCTGTGGTGAAGTACTTATATCATATTTGACATTGTGGCAGCAGGCTGAGATGGACGCGCGCACTCTTCGCTTCTCTCATCCATGGGTGCTCCTCATCAGCCAGATGCTCACGGCTTGCCCGATTGAAATACCGTCTACTCTGCTCCTGGGGACCAACCTTGAACCGTTCTGCACTGTGCGTGCTTTGAACTGGGCTCTGTAGTGCCGATGCAGTTCGTTGCGTCCATTACGGAAAGGGAGTCGACATCCTTAACTCTCTTGTGCACGTATTTTGTTTGGACCGGTCGATTGTGATCCTGCCTCGAACTGCAAGCGACAATATCTTTTCCGGTGCGTTGTCGCCCCCATTCACTCCGACGCAGATACTCCTCACAAAATCTCTTCTGCTCTCCCTCCCCATTTTTATACGTCCCTTCCACCTCGCTTCCCACCTCGATCCATCTCCTATGACGCGCAAACGCAGGTGCCCCCGGTCCACGTTACTCCTACACCTCCGCTGCATTAAGCCAGACCTGGGTCAACTATGTACCTAGAAGATCACTGAGTCGGGTAGGAACGTCTTCGCAGGCATACAAGCTTGTTCGGACGACGACTACATACATAAGATGATCGCGCTGAACGAAAAGGTACGTTCCCATTTATTTTCTTGTCCACCATAGCTTTTGATTTTGTATATCGTGCATCTCACTTCTGCCCTATTCCATCCATTCGTTTTCCGTTTTTTTCCTCAATGCCGTTAAGGGTTTCGGTCAGCCTTCCGTTTGTTTGCTTCTTCGACGCGTTTGTACCTGACAGGGGCATATCGGATGAGTGCTTACTTTGTTGAACATAGCCTGTCATCGTCCGGAGAGTCAAGGATTGTGAGATGTGGTCGGAGGGCAAGAGTGCCGCGACCTTCATACTCGCGTGAATGTCCTTCTACTGCTAATACCATGCGTCTCCTTAGCTCTGATTTATCCTATCCCTAACTCTTTTACCGTATTAGGATCGAAAGCAAGCTCATCTTGGTACGTATTCTTCCATGGCTCCAATACCATATCACGTACCGTCGAAAATCTCGTCTCGTAAGCCAAACTTCTACCTTCACTCCCTCTTTCGACGCCCATCTTCTCAACGGCTTGCAACGACTTCGTGCTCGAAGAAGGATCTGAAACGTAGGTGTCTTCTCGTCGTACATTGCTCCCACACTGAAATCTCGCGTCAGCACACCCTAGTGTGCACTCCTCATTATTTCTCTCGTGGATGCTGCTTGAGAGAGCCGAGATCGTCTCGCTTGTCGTGCGGGTGAGAAGGGCGTGCGCTATGAGGAGGAAAGGCATTCTTCGAGGTTGTTCCCTCTGCTGCTCACACTCATGTGGTCGCCGCGTCCAATTCAGTTCAGGCTTCTCTATGCAGCATAACACCGACACATTCGTTGTATCGGAAAGTCGCGAAACAAATCTCGTGCGTTCTTCCACTCTACTTTACCATCCTTCGAGATTTTGGCAAGCCTTCTTTTATTAACATGCTAATAAAGCTTTTAATCACAGGTTATTAACTCGGAATTTCACATTGTTATTAACACTGTAAAAAATGTGTTAATAAAGAGGCTCGGACCCCGGTTGTTAATAACATGGGTGAGACTCGCCCCGGGAATTATTCACGGAACCCTACTCCTCTTTTCTGAGTCCACCGACTTTCGTTGCAGAACAGTGTTGAAGCTTGAAGCTTGAAACCCGGTCCCATTCACAACCTCTGACATCGTGTGGCCTAGCCTGCAGCAGCAGCGAAGCTACCCACTCTCTCTCCGACTTCCCTGCGTGCCGCCAACCCTGGTAAGAAAAACTTGTGATCAGAGGTGAAACTCCACCCGCTAGATATCCTCTCGGATACGACACGGCAAGCGGTCAATTTTTCTCTCTCACGCGTGCAATGGATACAGCGAACACCCATGATCCGGGACAGGACGCTCCCATGCTCAGTCCGCATGACTGTCCCCTGGCGCTGGTCTCGACGTCTTCCCGTAATCCTTGAGGCGCGTGTCCGGGAGTTCCCCTCTCGCACCGTATCCTTGGCCGCATGTATCTTCCTTTGTCGATGCCTTATCGATATCCTGGTACTCCAGCACCCACAGGCTCTCGTCAGTCGAGAGTCGCTCCTAGCTCGCTCTCTAGCTCTGGTGGTCATGTCATCCGTCGCAGCCTTCTCGTTCGGCACCCTAGGTGACTTCATCGTCCTCCTTGACCTTGCTCAGAAGGTTAGGAAGTCGCTCAATGCTAGCTCGGGCGGGTCCCAGGACTATCTCATGTTACTTATCGAAGTCGACGCCTTGGTCCGCATCCTTCGACTGGCCACCACCCCTTCGACCTCGACTCGACTTTCACAGCTTTCGCCTGCCTTGGTCTGGACAGCTTGTAATGCTCTCAAATCGCTGCAGGATGTTCTGAATATCCTCGAGACAAAGGTCGTGACTTACCAGGGCAAGTTACGAAAGGGGGGATCAGCACTAATGATGATGGAGTCTTGGAGGAAAATCGGATGGGGCCTGCTCGCCCAGGATGACGAAGTGAAAAAGCTACGGTGCCAGCTGTCGTATCACACCAGGACTATCCAAGTTGTGATGTCGTTCGCGCAGTGGTAGGCTGTCGGATTTCTTCGCTACAGCCTTTTGGACGTTCGTTGCCTGTTGACTATCTTTGATTCAGCGCAATAACAGATGAAACGGAGCGACAATCTAAGCGTACGCTCGACCGTTTGACGAGGTACCTTCCCATCAGTATCGGCTACACCTGGGAAGGCGGAGCGACCACCGACACGGCGCCTATACGGCTTCGAGACATGTACGATCATATCTTTGACGTGCCTCTGGATCTCTGCGCTACTCCCGAGGTATTGTAACTCCGTTTTTGCCACAAATACTCAGTCCTGACGTCGTCGGCAAAGCTTTTTGACGGAATGCTCAGGATGTACTTCCATGGCCGAAAAGGAAACAGATTCATCGTCAAGGGAGATTACGAATTGACGACCGCCGGAAGTAGCTCTTTGCTCAGCCTGATTGACCCTTCCGAGTGGCAGACGACGATGAAGCCCGGGATCGTAGTGGAGATGAACGCCATCATACCCCGAAAATCAAGGCCAAATCACCACTCCAACGTTGAGTGCCCGTGCTGCAGAAGAATCGTTCCCGGTGTAGACATTGACGTTCTCACCGTGTGGTAAGCCTATCGACTGAGCTCAATTCGTAACATTCTTGCAAACACTTACGCCCATGCGTCTATATTAGCTCTCACTCGGACTGTCGGACGTCATTTACTATCTCACGGACGGATATAGATGATCCTACCAATATTCTTGACTGGGAATTCTGCAATGCAGCGAGGCCCATAATAGAAGCAACAACGGACTCGAACTACATATTCGGACCTGAGGAGTGGAGAACTCAGCACGCACAAGAACTGGAGCAGGTCTACGCAGAGTCGCGCGCTTTGCGTCACGTTAGGGTCCTGGATTGGCTCCCGATCAGATTCGCTAAAAACGTGCCCAGGTTCAAAGTAAGTAATATTTCGCCATTGCATACGCACTATTCACTGAGTTGGCCGAACTGACACTGACGATACATAACTACAGGCAGGCGTGCCCTTGACGTATCGAGATAGTCGGAAAGGAGAAGTACCATTGACATGGAAGGGAACGAGGACGCTCTCAAATGTCGCGATCCCTATTTCACGATGCGAAGTATTTGAGCTCATGGTAATACACATTCAACAGGGAGTTGTTGTACATGACGTACTGTCCAAAGATACAGGAGAGCTATTGTCGCTGCCGTATGTCCTTCTACCCTTCATGTCTTTTTTCTTCGTTCTTCCGTAGGTTTTTGGATGCGACTCACTCTATAAAATGCGACCTCAGACCCTCCGCAATGCTACACAACAGTCAGGCCATGAGGAAAATGGCCCATCGAGCGGTCGGTATGGAGGAAAATTTCAATCCCAGTATCGAGTGAAAGAACGGTATGTGTATTTCATGAGCTATGACAACTAAAACCTGGTCGGAAATATATTTGTCACTCAGAATCGAACGATAAATTCTAAATTTCCATAACCACAGCGGTGATCGTACTGTCGTTGGATAGGTGTTGTATTCATACTACTAGAGATGGCCCCTTGTAATGTGTAATACTGAACCTCAGGAAGAGCCGGGAAGAGCCGCGAAGCGGCTCTACAAAAATATAGACTTGTACCTCGTAGCATTTACACAGTCTGCGTGAGTCGGTGGGTGGCCGGAAGGGCTCAGAACCAGAGCGGGTGAAGGGCGCCGAAGAGTGGCAAGACAGCGAGTGTGGCGCAGCATGACCGTGACGGAGGCGAGCTGGATCGTGGTTTGATGCAACCGGATCGTATTTCTTGGGATGCGATGGTGTCTTCGAGCATCGAAGCTTCACGCCAAGCTCTTTGCTGGAATTTTATATACTGAAGGCGGGACGAGGCCCAAAAAACACACCCCCGGTAATCAGAAACACGATCAAGTAGCCCGAGTGGTACATACAAAGCGGTTCATTGGTCCGACCACGACCGTAGACAAACTTCAGATTTGCATTTCAGCTATGCATGGTCACGAAAACTTGAAGACCGAAAAAATCACGTCCGTCCTTAGAGATTCTCCTCCGTCAGCCGCTGACCCTTTCTTTGTTTTCGTGAAGAGACAAAAATCCTCGGACCTCGCTGTTCAGTAGCACTCTCAGTTGTGAACTGAAACCGAGACGTTCAAGGTATCGTGAAGTTTGAACAGCCCAGCTAAGTATGTGTAGGAGACAGTACCGTGACTGCAGTGCTGAGGCAGAGCAACGCCGTTCAAAGCACCTTCAAATAACCGCCTAGCAAGCTACGCGCGCAATCTCGGGAGGGCACAGGACCAGAGTAGTTCGTTCTCCATTCTAAATGAGGATTGGCTATGGGTGCTCCATTATGCAACCGTAACAATAAAAAAAAGTGACAGGACGATGATATGGTCACGGCCATAACTCCTTTGGATGAGACGATGAGACCTGACATTTGAGAGCCAATGATGAATTTTGGGAATCATGACATCAGGTAGCGATACTGTGTTGGTACTCGCGAAGACCGTCCCAGTTAGCCCGAGCACTGACATATATATGGCTCTATTCGTCGCCGCATCTGCGTCCACTGCTTTCAACCCAACTCCCGAGCTCTGCTCACCTCTCTTTGCTTGTGACTAGACACGCTCACCAACTCGTCCTACCCTTTCCAACCTCATAGCTGTTAGGCTATCTAATGTGCACAAGGCCCGCCAACCAAGCTGCTTTGGGTGAGATATATTCATTTAGTCTGGAGACTTGCTTTGACGTGTAGCGGAAAAGTTGTCGACCCAGGTTAGGCGGCCAGCGCATCACTACGTCGGGGGTCGAGACTGAAGCAGACTCCAATGGTGGGGAGAATGACGGTGTTTGTTCCGCTACATCATCGGTCTGTCGTCGTGTAAACCGATAGACCGCCGAGCACAAAAGTGGGGAAAGAATCCGGGGACATCGATGAAGACGAGCAGAACGTGTGGCGAGCTGTGGCGACGGCGGGCGAGCCAGCGCACCATGACTCATTTCCGTTCCGAGGGCGTTCTGCTTGTCCCAATTTGGGTTTGTTTTTCCGTTTTTCGACTTGTGACACCTGGATGACACTGATAAGGAGCCTAACTAGGCTGGGGTGGCAGGGTGTGGCACCCCAGCCTAGTTAGGCTTGATCGGACACGAATCTTCGCCTCCGGACTCGCCTCTTGTTTCGTCGCGACTTTCAGAGGCCTCGAGTCTCTCGCGGCCCCGTCTTCCGTCGTCGTCATCGGAGGCGTTCCGAGGCCTGCCCCTCGCCACATCTCCTCCCCGGCATCCCCGTCAACTTGCCCCTATAGCGCCACTCACCCTACCTTCCTCCGACTCAGCGCCGTACTCGACGTCGTCGACGACGATTGCCTCAACTCAAGGCTGCATGTGCGCTCTCTGACATGCTCGAGCGTTCGTTGTCGCGCGGGTTCTGCCGTGGGATTTCCCACACGCTCGTGTGCTGTCGTTGTCGCGTCGTGCAGGCTGCTCGTCGCCGCTGTGCTCGACGATGAGCACGGGTACTTCGGTCGCCCGTT